ACCATCCTTGTGAATTATTTCCAGCCATTTCACTAACAGTTTTCAATCATTGATTCCTTTAGTCTCGTCGACTCCAACGAGACTCAGGCCACTAGTCAAAGACTTCAGGCACTGGTGCTATATGTTAGTCTGGCCACCCTGAACTCTGTTCCAACTTATTCCAGTATCCTATAGGATAGCACGTCGAGGTGAACAGTTGCTCGGAATGATGGAGGATACTTTTAGATCAAAAGAAAGTTGTTGGTGGGTTTCTGAACCTTGAGAATTGCAACTATACTATTTTGAAGTACTTTCGAATTACTTCAGCGAAACCTAAACAAAAAGCTGCACCACCTCACATGTTGTTCAAACCGAAAGACACAAAGACAAAGGAACAAAAGTCGATTCTAATCCATACAGTGAATTGTAGTAGATAAGAGGACCACTACCTAGCTGGCTAACCAAACCTTGATAGGTGAAACGGGACTCGAACCTACGATTCATCGGTTGGACGGCACCTCCCTAAAACCACATAAGACTACATTATCGACCGCTATGATATCATACTTTTATCTTCCAACCTATAAACCAAAAACATTTTGTTGTTGATTGACATAATATCAACTTTTGAATATTGAATAATATTATTCGATATTTCCCAAACTACTGTTTGATTGTATAGTAATGAAAAGACTCCTGTTTGCTGATGACAATTTACTGAATTTGTACACCTTGACTGTTGAACAAGATGTGTTTTCTCCAGTTAACAAGAAGCGAAACGAGTTTCACATACTCAATACCCAAATCCATGATAGGGACTTGAAATAAACAGCAGGTGTGCCTATGCATGGTATGATATAAACAGTATGGTATAAAAGTCTTATGGCAGTTTGAAAGACATCACTCTGAGGACTTTATAGTCAAAAATCATCCGTCATGTTACAGTCCACAGTGAGCTGTAAATGTCAACTGTTGCTGGTTAAACATGTCTGCCTCCTTTATTTTTATTTAAGTCAGTCATCGATGTATATATTGTGTTCTCCTCACCGTCTGGTTTTACTGCAATAGATACCATAGTAAGAGATCCCTTAATCGATTTGTGAATACGCAAGACAACATAGTCGTAATTAGGTTAAGGTGTTGAGTATTCGGAGTAAGTGACAGTTTCAGTGGTTAGAATACGAATTTTCTCCTCAGGACTGCTCTACACAAATACCTAATCTGACCACTTCACTTACTTGCTGAGACGGATCAGTCTTGATGTTTCAATGGGTAACAAATCCTCAGTACACAAAAAAGAGGCTCGATTACCTTTAACTATCCTCCCAGATAGTAGTGAGATACCCGACTACCTACTGAGGATCAAGTGTAGCGTGCAGTAATTCACTCTTTTCTACGATGGTCATTAAAGATAAAAGTAAGAAAGTTTCAGATGATCCATTAGCATTATCTTCGTGGCACCGGTTACATTTCACAGAAGTGTCAACAAGGTCGTGAACCTTCACCAATTGAGGTCGATGATACGCACATCCAGTCATCATCTTTTCGACGCCATGAAGTAGGCGAACAGGTTAGAAAAAGCTAAGCTTGGTCAAAATGAAAAAAGTTGATAAACTCTCAGTTTTGATCTGTAGCATGTAGGGAAATGTAGATATCCAAGCTGAAGTTCACATGGCAACTGATAATTGCAAAACTCTAGATAACACCATCCCGAATCGATTGTTGCGGTGGTGATGTATCCATGAATCATCTTTATCTAAACCCATCTTTTTACTTTATTGTTTTCCATCAATTTTGATGCTACTGTTCCTAGTTATCTTTGTGTTTTAGTATGATTACTCGAGTTCTAAGGAAGTAATATCAGTTCCAACATTGCTGTTGCTTGATTGATCAAACATAGATCCTCGCACACACAAGTGCATCGAATCAAGCTTCCAAAACTTTACAGTAGTATGGTGTGTAGACAGAATGTTAAAAAATGTAACAGTGATTAAGGTACATAACTATGACTAACCTTCACTTCACATTGAATAATAGAAGCCCAAAAATATATTCTGATTTCGAATGAACCATTGTATGTCTACTACTGGAGGCATGAGAGCGCTTGACACCTCCCAACTGGTACACAACCGTGGAAGGCTATTATTTCAAATGGTACCTGGAAGAAAAAAGGATACATGCGAACGAAAAACCCATGGACATCTATTTGAGGCCTGTTACACACAGCCTTTTGCAAATTGTTGTTTTTTGAGATTTGATTGTTCTAATGCCAAAGAGAGGAACCAATACTGCTGGCATCGGGAGATTGTGGAACAGGGAGGAGCCGAACTTCCCCGACCACCCCCCCCCCACATTCCTATAGGGGACGCGGCATTACCATGGTACTCCTGGTCATTCAAACGAAACGCCTCACCACTGTCAATCCCCTGTCTAGTCGGAAGTAAGACTTCAACCCCATCGCAGTGTAGCAGTTTACACTACAACGGCAACTGCTTACCATCTTATCACCACCCAACAGACCTTTCTGGCGTAATAGGACCTTGAAGGAATACGTATTCCAGCCAATGTAGCTTGCTGGATCAGTGACCTGCAAGCCCGACCACCAAATCAAGGTAACAGCTATCGGCCGGTAAACAGAAATTAATTGTTGTTATTTGAAAAATGTTTCTCCTTTCCTTATTTAAAATAACCGAAATGAAAAACTTTAAGAAAAAACATAATTTCTAATCCCACTTTTGTATTCTTAAAGCTTCCACAATACAAATTTAACGTTTCTGTAGGCATTTTGTAGGCCATGTCAAGTTAATTCTCTGGAACTTTCAATGAAATATTATAAAATACAAAACTGTGTTGGTTTCAAAGGCGGAAAATTTGTCTTCATCTACAGCGTTATAATAGGAGATGAATGCCTATATTCAAAGAGGTAGCTAATGATTCAGTATTGTCCTTGTATAGATGTCCATCCATGTACATGTGGCTTCAAAGATTGATTTTATCAAAATCCTCCCTAGCGTAGTCTGCTAGAGTGGATAAAATGTAGCCTCATTCTTATTGGGTACCTGCTAACCTCCAGAGCTGACTCAAAGGATTAAACAGTTGCTTTTCAACCAATGAGTAGAGAGTTTAAACCCCTGTCCACCTAACGAGATTCGAACAACCAACTAAGTAACATCATTAGCCAACACATACACTAGGCATGACTCACCGCCGTCTGCATGAATATGCATATGGTCGCTGACAGCATCTTAATTCAGCGTTGAAAACAACTTTTTTAAAAATTAAGCACAGATGTGAGACATGAAGAGGTTACAGGGTTAATTTTCACTGGTATCTTTGTAGCATAGCTCGTGTTTGATAGAATCATCGTGTGAGCAAGGTTGAGGCTGACGAAAAGTACTAGGCAAGACGATTCATGAAGTTGTGAACCGTCTGAGGCAGCTTGGATGTGTTACGCACGCCAAGCCTTGACGTGAGATGCTAAGGGAAGCTGAATTTCATTAGATTGATGGTGGTCAGACCAAGAAGTCACACCAGACAATGAAGTCCCTGACTGTTGGTCTGAAAATCGGTCACTGTGCAGATATATTCGCTCCCTGACATTTGCTAAGGCTTGAATATTGGCCGTAACTATCATCTTCCGATTGCTTATCCTCTCTCACACAACTGTGCCTACTTTGTGGTATCATCACCATCAAGATCAATATAGGACCAGGCATTACTGCCTCACTATCCAACTTGTCACATCCAGTAACAAGGCAATAAAATGGAACAAAAGAAGCAGGTATTAAAAGAGAGGAAGGAGGAATGAAAAGCTGATGAGATTAAGTATGATGGTTAAGATAAAGATAAGTGTGAATACATCCGCAACAATGAGATTGCTTCTAATTTCTCCCGTGGACCCCAACCAGCTAGGTTGCATCACCCTACAAGACTAAAACCAACAGTCAACGACTTCATCCATTGATGATGTTTTAGTCTGGCCGCACCGACCATGTTTTAAACCTGAACCTACTTTGGCCAACATTGTGTAACGAGGCTGATGGTGTTAAGGCATAAGTGACACATGTCTCAGCCAGCCATCTTAGTCAATAAATGTCCACAAAAAATATCAACTGTCTTACTCCTCCTGAGTAAAAAAACTCTACACCAAGAAACATGGACCGTGCTATAAACAGAACGGTGGTGAAATACCTGAAGCCTTCCCATGTCTTCTACTAATAATGCCCATGTTTCACAGTCATACAATAGGACTGTAGCACAGTACACTCGATTCTTAATGGATAGTCAGATATCGCAGCAGCGCCAAGATGGCGTAAGTTGGCAAGAGTCAACTGAGCCTTTTGTATTGCTGGAGAGATTTCGACAGCTACCGCTACTGACTAGCACACCACGGATGATCCGACTTCCTAGTTAAGTGAAGTGTTCAAAGCGCTGAAGAACAGTCCTGGAGCAACAATTTGCATTTAGGTGATGAGAAACGCATTCAAAACATTCTCAAATCGCTATTCAAGGTGTCCAGAAGACTCTGCTTCTTGTTAGTGTCATCACCTAACCGGATTATGTCATCAATGTATTCTAAGTCAACCAAAAATTCTCCTTTGATTAGGTGAATCCCTGTATAGTCAGATGATGAGAAGGACACCTCTGTAAGAACATCTATGATAAAATTGAATAAGAATGGAAAGAGTTGGCAGCCTTGACGGACACCACTCAACGTACACAACTCACCCGATATCTCACCACAGGCTCCAACACCCCTACAGGTGTTCCAGTAAAGAGCTTTCAACAAGATGTTGTACTTACTTCATACCCTTTCGTGATATAACTCTTTTTCTGTCCATCTGTTCTTTATGTACCTACAATGAAGTGTGGCAACTTGTGGACTGGTTCACTTGTGTGCGAAGTTTGACGTTGATTCCGCCTGTCTACATAAAACAATTATAGTTCTTCATAACTTGGAGGTAGACTGAACATCAAACACTAACTGTATACCTCATCATTCAAATGAATAAAACAACTAATTGCTATTCATATATGTGTATATAAGGAATCCAATAGAAAATTCAAGAGGATGGACTTGTGTCCCCTTGAGAACATAAATGAGGAAAAAAGACTAAGCAATTGTACTGGTAATAATAATAATAATTGATTATTTAGCTATGTACATATACATATTACTTCCGCGAGGTGATCTCTACAGTAGACAATATTCACATAACACAACTCCGCCTTTTCTCCTACTCCGGAAATGATGGAGTATATTATTCACCTTCATACAGACTCCAAGGTACATCATAGGCGGATAATACAATAATAATAATGAGTAATAATACTAATAATAATGATAATAATGGGCAAGTAGATGAGTAACGCGCATACACACACACGCACACCATAATAACAATATTAATATTAGTAATAATAATAGTAGTAGTAATAATAATGGGTTTGAATAATGATTTTATTTAAATTGGCAAGTGAATGTAAAAAAAAGACGAAAAGGCGATCGGCCGTCGAGGGGGTTGGGTAACATAACAGCAAGAAGATTAGGTGTAGTACACTGTTGAAGAGTTATCAACGAGTGTTATGAGGTGAATTATTTATTGATTATATGTACACATAGAAAAAGAAGATAAGCTGAAGGAGAGGGGGTGGTGGTAATGGATGCCAAGAAGTTGGAAAAGGAAAGGTAACAGCCTTCATTGACTAACTAACTGCCTTCTCACTGTATTCTCACATTCATTGATAATCAAATAAACACGAATATACGTAGTAGTACTAGTAGTGTTCGGTAGAATATCAGGTTTTTCATTGTCTTTTGTGAAGATTTTACTGATATGGATTGCCTGCATCTTCCATTAAGCAAAGTACATAACTCTCAATGTCTCAGGATGAACTGTAACCGCTCGCATCATAGCAGTAGGCGTGCGTTCATCTGAATTACCAGACTTTTGACTGCCTTCACCACTGAGAAGAAAGATAGAAATGAGAAAGAAAAAATCATTATTATTATACAGTTGAAAATCTTCTTCTACAACACCTGTGTTGTATCACTTAGAGTTGAATGGTTATAGTCTAAATTAGGAAGAGATACATAGAATCGATTCATCCATCCATGGATATGGATGGTCTTCTGAATGCGCAGAGTATGTTTGGTATGCGTTTCGCACATGTCAAACGTAAGACAATGTTCAAGGACTGGTCTACAACGACTCGTAGCTTAATGATAGGGAGAGAAGTGGTGGAATGTGTCGACCACTTCACTTACTTGGGGGGTTGTATCAGGTTGAAAGAGCTAGTTGAAGACGAAATCTCACCTCAGATATAGAAGGGACACTTGATATTTGTCAACTTATGTCACCTGTGGCGTTGGCGGTTATCTATCAAAGAACGAGTATACTGCGCTACTGCAGTACATTCCGTCCTGTCGTACGCCTGTGAGACATGGCCGTAAAAGTAAGTGACGTGAAATAGTTAATTTTTCGATCATAAGTGTCTTTGTAGCATTGCTCGTGCTTGATGGAATCACTCGGTGAGCAATGTTGAGGTCAGGTGAAAGGTACTAGGCAAAACACGCGAGTCAAAAGAAATGCCTATGCCAAGTCACAGCGTACCTCGACGTCACATGCTAGTGGAGAAAGTTGGATTAGGGGTTGAAAGAGGGCTCAGGGTGGCCAGATCAACGCGTGGCACCAGTCGATAAAATCCCTGACTGTCGGCTTGAGCCATGTAGGAAGATGTAAACTACCTAATTAGGATCCCGAGACGAAAGGAATCATACGTCGAGGACACTTGATGACATGGACGAAAATCAGTAACAATAGCGCTGATGTATCTTTAGTATCTTCGGAAGCTTGAATATTCACGCTAACCTCTATCTTCAGATTGTTTATTCTCTTATACTACTTTATCTACTTTGATATCACTCCTTTTTTATCCACTTGTTCTTTGTGTATTTCTATGAAGTGTGGTAACTTGAGCCAATGCATTCCTGTTTAAGTTTCTACATTGATTTTGTCTATTAGTCAGTCAGTTACCAGGAAGGATTAATCTCGTGAATTATGAGATGAAAAGAAATACGGCTACATTACCTGCCTGCTTCCCTGACAATCATAACACTTACTGAGCTGTTCACCGATGCGAAACCCTAGTATAAACACATCAGAAAGTATTTGATAATCTGTAACCCTTGAAAAAAAATGTTTGAATGTAGTACTGTGAAACACTGATGATCCGTTGTAGATGGTCATAGATTAACGAATCGAATCCTGAACGCCCTGGTTTCGACCCCTGGAGGCACGATTTCATGAGTCTGTACTGCTGAAGTGATTCATACTACGAAGAAATAGCTGATGTTCAAACTTTTCAGATTTTTAATGGTTCGCCAACTTATGTGATTCCATAATGAATAACATCAACTTGAAATGAATCATAAATCCTCCCACAAAATTATGCGAACATTCATCAAAACTGATCAATTACTAATAACTGTCGTTACTTGAAATGTTGATTCCAGTAAGAGGTAGGAAGGTGGATGATTAATGTTTATAGTTATTCCTTCTTATCAGTAGTTTTCTGTTCATCTTGTTAAAAAGAGTAGATGTACTCTCGTATGCTAAGTTTTATGTGACTCCGACCAATTTTGAAGTGATAATACACCATGAAGCTGTGATGACTCAATGGATTAGGGGACTAACTGATTCATAACCAGTGGGTCAAGGGATCGAACCCTGGGATAGTTTGAGCAGTCAACACACACACACACACACACAATATGTGTGGCTGGATGTCCATCACTTCACGTGTATGCCTGTGTTCAAAGTAGCTGAATGTTTCGTAAAACAATGAGGGGGGTGGGGTGAAAAATAAACAAACAGGTAAAGAAAAAATATAAATAACTTCACTAACCTATCGATTTCTTTTTCAACTAAATGATATCGCGCTCGGAATGCAACTAAATGAGCATAATAGGCCGGCGCAGGAATTGAAACTGAACGTGTACAACGTACATATGTATGACATAATTGGTAAGTTAAATTTTGTATATCATCAGCGCTAAATCTGTATCACAAAGAAGAAGAATAAGAGAGTTAGTTAGTAATAGCAGCATTTATAATGAACACATCAACTTATTATTACTAAAAAACAAAGTCACTTGAACCATCTTCATTCCTTAGTATTTATTTTAGTTCGTTCGAATTTGCTTAAGAACAAGTTAGACCTGAATGTTGCGCTTTATCGCAGGCGAATTGACAGAAGTAGGAAGAAATATAGACCCTTGGATTCCGATCCAGTAGGTTAATGGTGACACGCTCATCGAAAAACCAAGTCCTGGGATCGGTCCCTTGGTGCGGACATGGTCGTAAACTGCTGAGGAGTCGCATACTAGGACGAAACAGCTTTACAGTGAAAACTAACCTGAGGTCAACAAATCTTTAGAAACCCCCGAATTTAAATAAATATTAACTGGTCCCGATTTTTATTAGTCATAACTTTCTTAGCTTCTTACAATCCGCAACAGTGGGCAGGAAATTTTTCTGACTTTCTAAATACGGTTGATTGAGATGGTTTAGATATGTATTACGTATACCGATCCACTGCCTACCTTGACGTACCATGCTACAAGAAGCTGGATTAGGTTGGAAGAGGATTCAGCCGTGGTCGGACCAAGACGTCGCACTCTTAGTGACATATCTGAAAATCGGTGACTGGCATAGATGTATTCAGTCCTTGATACCTTCGAAAGCTGTCCGTCTGTTATCCTGCTTAATTCAATTTCATCTTGCGTTTTTATCCCCGCATCTTAACACCCTAGTTACAACTAATCAACCCTGTGATGAAAACTATTTTCAAATCGATAGATGCTTTACAAACCAGTTAGTCGAATAAAAAGTCCACGCTGGTTCATTTGTGCCTGAGGATAGATTTCTCAAGCTGCTAACAGCAAATCATCATCTAGGAGATTGACTAACTTTTGCGTGCGGAAGGATACAGTGTGAACTATTGCAAATTGACTATCCTATACCCAACTTTCTCATGCGATCAATGAGTTATAAAGTAGAATAATTATGAAGGTAAGGAGCCCACCTCTGCCAACACAGATCGAGCAATTCGACACTGTATAGGGCAATTGAAAATTACAAGTACCAAAACAAAAATGTGAATTTAATCAAACACAACCGGATAAACGCTAGTATATAACACAATGAACTGTGGTTTATTGTGTTAGGGCTTATGATACTGCTCAGTCACCTAGGCTCAAGTAAAGAGGGTTGGATTCCAACCTGAGAATCCCTATTTGCACCAATCAATCCCATTTCCGCAATATAGAACGTTGGCAGATAAGATTCTATATGCTCTAGGTATATAGTATTAGGGGAAGTTGTTGTTACTATATAAAATACTCACTTGGAAACAGGCTTCTCGACCCATCCACCTCTCTCTCTCCACACACACACACACACACACACACACACACACACACACACACACACACACACACACAACAAAAGTGTACAAGGAAGTTAAGTTACAAAAGCAACTGACCTATTATCATCCCATAGGACATGATAGTGACTTGGTCGAGAAGTGCCTTGAATTCCAGCGTGACTGCATAGATAAAAATCAAATTCTGTTGGATGCGTAATCACTTGATCCACTGTTGTCCCAGCAGGTATATTACCAGATTTACCCATTTGATCTTTTTTATCAGCGCAAAACAATCGTGTATGATGACGTTTTTGGACAACAATAAATGTGATACCAGGTTGATAACCTAATTCTAATTTGACGCATGCTTCACGTATAGCGCGTAGTTCATGATTTAAAACCTAAAATATCAACAACAACAAAAACGTGTCCATCATATTCAACGCTACAATGTAAAAGTCAATAAAAATGACACAGAAACGGAATAGAACAAAGAAATGATTGGTCATTCAATCAAATATGACGTATACTTTTTGATCAAAGCTGCACTTTTACACCAAAGGAAATATTGTCGTATTCAATAATGAAGAAACGGATAACAAGACTTCGTGTCTTTGATATAAGTGTAAAACTTGGGCACTGTGGTAGAGTATAAATTCCATATTAGATTTGTTTATTTGATTTATAATACACAGTGAGACAGTATTAACTATTCACTTGATGATGATGTTTCCAGCAGAAATCATTACTCCATATTATTTGCTTTGATTGGTAGCAAAATTTTCTGTATCTCTGATATGGATAGGTGTTGCGTCATTTCCACTACATGTGCGTTGGATGCATGTTAATTCTATGAACAAAGATTCAGTAGTCTCTCTCTCTCTCTCTATCTGATTATATTGGACTTGAGTACAGTGGTTTTATCCCACTCTATTGTGTGGTTGTGTGTTAGTGCATCCACTGCGATAGCCCAGTTTCCTTCTAGGTTATTGATTTTATTCAAGTCTGTCATTCTATTCCGCTAATCGAACTGACGCCGACTAGCTAGTTTTACCTATGTACTTGACCCGATAATCATTCCATGGAATTTGGTGGATCAGATTATTCTGCTTAATTTGATCTATTGGATCTTTAAGTTAGCCGACAAAGCGCATCTCTGAGTAAGCTAATAAGTTTTTAATCTTACCCTAATTCAAGCCTTAATGAGAACCCCAAGTAAAGTTTCTGATGCTCATTACTTATACGATAACAGAATAGAAGTTTCGAACAAGTCTTTATTCTAAAAAACCAATCAACACGACACTGGAGGCAGTCAAAAATCAACTAAATATTGACTCAGAACTTACTCATAGAACTAAGATATCGGTCGATGAAATCATATTAGGCGTACAGTTGTGCTTGACCCCACAGTCTTCAGTTTTCAGGACAAAATATACAGACAAATAGTTGGAGTAGCAGTGGAATCACCAATTTCCCCAATCGTAGTAGATATATTTATGGATAGTTAGGAAAACATACCTTTACGACGATTTAATCCTGCCCCTAAGATATGGTGGTGATATGTGGTATGACACATTCTTTGTGTTGAAATCGGAACATATCGACAATCTCCTCATACATATAAACACATTAGTAAGCGCAATCTAATTCACTTCCAAGGAGATAGAAAATGAACAAGGAGAATTGCCTGTGTTGGATTGCAGGATGAAACGAAGAACAGACGGGGGTTTGGATACCACCGTCTACAGGGAAACCAATACATTCCAACAGGTAGGTATCTAAACTTCAGGTCATCTCATCCAACGTCAGTTAAGGCAGGTTTAGTAAAATGTCTACGCAATAGAACTAGAAAACTCACTGGTCAGTGCAAGGACCCAAACAGGGAACTGAAGCACATAAAATAAGCGCTAGTAGTTAATAATTATCCTCTACAGTTTATTAGGAAATTCGTGTGAATATACAAGAAACGAAGTCATAACAGCAATAAGAATACGAACAAAGGCGACAATACGAGTAGAAAGGGGTTCATAGCCTCCATTGAGTTACCCTATAAGGAAGGTATATCAGAAACTTTGCGTAGGATTCTCAAAAAGGCTTGAATTAGGGTGGCATTCACTCCTACAAACTTACTCAGAGATAAGATTTAGTGGGTTATGGATCCGAAAGGAGCAAATTAAGCAAAATAATCTAATCTATCAAATTTCATACAATGACTGTGAGGTCAAGTGAATAGGTCAAACTAGCCGGTCGGGTGAATTAGAATAGCGGAACATGGGAATTTAGCTACATATAGAATGACAGACTTGAATAAAATCAATAACCTAGAAGGAAACTGGGCTATCGCAGTGGATGCACTAACACACAATCACACAATAGAGTGGGATAAAACCACTGTACTCAAGTCCAATATAGTCAGATAGAGAGAGAGAGAGAGAGACTACTGAATCTTTGTTCATAGAATTAACATGCATCCAACGCACATGTAGTGGAAATGACGCAACACCTATCCATATCAGAGATACAGAAAATTTTGCTACCAATCAAAGCAAATAATATGAGGTGACAGGACTATAAAAATCAGATGTCGAGAGTAAGGACTTCATGTCTTGTTCAAGTCCCTTTAGTTTCAGACGATCGGCAGGAAGCCTCGACATACATTCCATGCTTCTTGGTACTCAACAACAAGGCATATCTTTGATCTTGGTGAAACTGGTGTTCTTTTTGGGATTTGAACCGGCATCACTCAGTATTCTAGTCAACAACGTTAACACTGGAGTTAATTGGGTCAGTGGTGATACGCGTTCGAATACCAGAAGGAATGTCAATTCCACTGAGGTTGGAGATACGCTTTGCTGTCGAGTACCAAGAAGCGTGAAATGTATGTTCAGGTTTTCCGGACGACTGTCGATCACTTTCTTCAAGGTTGAAAATACGCCTTTCTAACAAGTACTAGCAAGCCCGAAGCCCTAGACAAATAGAGTTCCCTGTCGATTCCCTCGAACCAACTAACACCCATCAAAGCGTAACGCGACAGTCATATTACAACAAGAATTTTAAATGCTTTCAGAGATAACATGAGTGATATTATCACAATTACTGCATTCTTCAAAAGGCTAGAAAAGAAAACACTAATATTTGACTAAACGATTGTTGGTAAAAACTGAGCAGAACAGATGAAAGAGAGAATATAAATGAAGTATTGAAGAAGCTATCTCAAAGATGTACTCAGAGAAACATTCACTACTTTCATTTTATGTTTCAGTCACAGAAGATTAGGAACCGAAACTGTAGGACTATCGTCAAGGGTTGCGATTTTGAGCTACGTCCGCAATCGTCTCAAACCATTGAGTTGCACGATTTTACCAATCCCAACAACACCAATCATCACAACTATCCGTGTATTCTAACGCACTACCGCATTTTGTAGAGCCAGTGAAATATGATAAGAGGCTAATAATTTGATTTACATGCTACTAGTGGCGAAATGATACCCCCATAGGACTCACAAATAGAACTGACAACAAATTAGACATACGAACAAATCTATCCGATATTGGAAAAATCTCTGAGATTCCATTAGAATAAGTGTTAAATAGACCGATAGAAACCGTAAACCAACTCCAGTTATGATGTTCGTAAAACAGTAAAAGTCAACTGAGCGCACAGGAAGTTTTTAATACAAAAAAAGAGAGTAAAACAACAACTTACATTTAAGAATTGACCTTCACCAACACCATCTCTATAATAAATAATCCTAGTTGGCTTAAATCGTGTCGCTCGATAGAATTGTAGTAATAGATCTCTAACCATAGGATAAAGATCGTGTATAATTTCTTGACGATGTGATTGTACGCGTACAGTAGCTGAATATCGACTTGGATGAGCATCCATACTAGCTACAACAGCAGCAATACTTGGCTTTGTTTTATCACCAGCTGGTGGATGAGTAACATCTGCGCCAAGAAAGATAACTGGTTCTCGAAAAACAGCTGGTCGAACACTTGGCACAATAATTGAGTTGATTCCACCAAGTTTAACATTGATTTTAAGGCAAAGATTAGAAAGTGTTTGTGGAGATGTTTTATTAACATTTTTTGATTGAACACATTGTGTTGCAAGACCGAACATAATATCACCGACACGTTTAACTTCAGCTATACATACGTAGTAGATATATATAAATATAAAACAGTAGAAAAGAAAAGAGGTGGGGGAAAAAAGGTCAAACAAGATGCTAACTACAAAATAATATCATAACAGAAATTTTCTTTACACAATACATCTTTCAACACCAGTTTCAATGGTTTGAATATAGTATATCATATACGTTATTCCATTAACTTCAATCCACAGTACAATTTACTTGCCCTAACATCGATTTAAGGCGGAGGGCGATGGAGAGAGAGACAACCAGAGATAATATGTGATGATGTGACACATTGAAATAAAGGGTACCACATACTCAAATTTGTTAAGTTTTGGGAACAGTGAACCAATGATTCAAGATATTCGAACATGTTACATGAGCAGTTGACACAAAATAATAATGCATTGAAATTCACGATAAATGTATCTTCGGTTGGCGTTTGCTTCCCCATAGATCAAGGTTTCTCATTTAAACTTTGAGATATCTATCTTAAAGTATGTCACTATTGAGCACAGGAGGTTTCATGTTTAAGGTAGTATCCCTAACGAACAGTTGTTTTGTTTTACTATTGGACTTCTCAACAGTATGCAACCATGATTCCGCCTCATCAATGATCGAACTCAGGACCTTCAGGTATCATGACGAATGCGTTAACTTATCAACCACTGGGTTGGAGTCCAATGGTTCACAGTTTTCTGATTCTTTCAATTCGCGATATAGTGCGACTATCAACCGGAGATCTTCAAGTTGGCATCCACTACCCTTTCGACTGGTCAACCAAAAAGGCCATGATGTCTCATTGAAACTTCGGGAAAATCCTATGGTAGTTCCATTTTAGAGCATCTGATAGGCGCTGGATACCAGGTGAGGCTTCGGTGACCTCTAAAGAGGGCACGGGAAATAATTGGGACACGTGCTACGTATGCCTGGTCACTGCTGCCTTGTCAGGCAATGTTAGCTGACGTAGTTCCACGCCGGAAAAAGGCTCGGGGCGACCAAACTAAATCATCGCATCATTCCATGAAGTCATCGACTGCTGCTCTGAAACGTGTAGGGAAATGTAAACTTCCCAGTTGGGCTCTGTGTGATAACAGAAACGAGTGATTGTTGGAGACCCTAGACGAAATGAAAAAGAAAACTGGAACCCACTCAGGAACTTTGTGCATATTCGTGTTGTAAGCAATCAGCCATACCTAATATGAGCTACTACGCAACCATGGCTCAGAATCGATGTCAACGGCGCAGATGTCCACGCACACAGTACCTTCATCTTAACCGCCATATTGAATTCAGTATTTTCACACTCCTCCTTCCTCTCTTTCGCTACTTTCGACTGCTTGTGACCCACTCTTCTTTCTTTCCTCGTTTTTCATCTTACTACTTTATTACTTGACGTGCTGATATGAGGTATGGCAACTTGCACGGATATGGCATTGATGTTTTTTTATAATAGGGTTGTGTTCTCTGAGGTGGCCTGTTTAATCATGGAGCTTTCGCTGTCGTTCTACACAACACCATAAGCAGGAACTTATAAAAGGGAGTGAGCGATAAGGACCTCCGCAATTTATTGAATAGCTTGTCTTGTGGAACCTCGCCTGGTTAACTAGTTTACTAGTTACTAGCCGGTCCTAAGCCCGGGTAAAGAGGGAAGGTTGGGCATAGGGCTAGCAACCCTACCCCGTAAAACAAATCTAACCGCTAAAGAAACTTCAAAGCACAAACAAAATATAAAAAATGAAAACAAACTTATTCCCCGCTGGAATCGGAGAGGCGAAATGACGCCAGTTGGTGAAAGCCTTCGGGAAGCCAATTGGCCGATGTGTCTTCTCTCGATGAAAGCGAAAGTAAACGTGGGGACATGGAATGTCCGCACGATGTTTGAATCCAGTAAGGCAGCCCAGATTGCAAAGGAGATGAGAAGGTATAACATCGAAGTGCTTGGGATTTGCGAAAGCAGATGGAATGGGAGTGGACTCTCCAAACTGTCAACTGGAGAATCAATAATCTACTCCGGTCACCCAGACGCCAACCACGAGCACACTGAGGGAGTGGCTATCATGATGTCCTCAAGAGCATCGAAGGCTCTCATGCAGTGGGAACCAATCTCCTCCAGGATCATGACAGCAAGATTCAACTCAAAAGGAAGAAAGGTCACAATCATACAATGTTATGCACCTACAAATAATGCAGAGCAAGAGAAAAAGGAGGAATTCTACAGACAACTTCAGTCAACACTGGACAAGACGTCAGTTGGCGATATCAAAATTCTAATGGGCGACATGAATGCCAAACTGGGAGGGGACAACACGGGAAGAGAACTAACCATGGGTCGAGAGGCGCTAGGTGAAATGAATGAGAATGGAGAATTGTTTGCAGAATTCTGCGCATTCAACGATTTGGTGATTGGAGGCAGTGTGTTCAGGCACAAGGATATCCACAAAGCGACATGGACTTCACCAGATGGACACACTAAAAATCAAATCGACTTTATCTCAATCTCAAGAAAATGGAGACGCAGTCTACTTAACACAAGGTCAAGAAGAGGAGCAGATGTAGGTTCAGACCACTATCTAGTGCAAGGAACCTTCCAAATCAAGTTAAAAGCCTTCAAGGAAGCTGGTGATAGACCTCAATTCAAGTACAACACTCGGAAACTGAAGGATGAAACTACAAAGGAGATCTTCAAAGCAGCCATCAAGACAAAATGGGAGACGTCGAGGGACATCCCTGAAGAAACCTGTGTAGAAGAACACTGGAAGTCTTTGAAAGCTATGTGGAAAGAAACCTGCACAACAGTATTAGGAAGGAAGAAGGAAGAAGACAAGGAATGGATCTCGACGGATACCTGGAAGCTGATAGAGGAGAGGAGGATGGTGAAGCAGAAGATAAACCAGTGCAAGGATGCTCAACGACAAGAGGAACTGAGCACAATGTATAAAACACTGGATAAAGAAGTGAAGAAGAGTGCACGCAAAGACAAAAGACACTTCTACGACACACTGGCAAGTGAAGCAGAACAGGCTGCAGGTAAGAGAGACCTGACGACATTGTATCAAATAACCAGGTTGCTATCAGGGAAGAGACCAACACAGATGAAACCAATAAAAGATGAAGAAGGAAATTTAATTACAAAAGAAGAGAAACAGAGGAAACGATGGGCCGACCACTTCAAGAAGCTCTTGAATCGACCACCACCTGCACTTCGTCCAGAAATACCACCTGCAGCCGCTGAATTACAAGTGAACATAAATCCCCCAACGAAAATGGAAGTCCTGAACGCCATAAAGCTACTGAAATGCGGGAAAGCAGCAGGACCAGATGGAATACCGCCAGAAGCACTGAGAACAGATGCAGAGACAACAGCGGACATGCTCACACCACTATTGCAGAAGGTGTGGAGGGAAGAGAAGGTACCTGTCGATTGGAAGAAGGGTTACCTTGTCAAACTGCCGAAGAAGGGAGACCTCAGTGCTTGCAAGAACTGGCGAGGAATCACTCTCCTATCCACCCCAAGTAAAATATTAAGCCGCATCATCCTGGAGAGGCTTAAAGACGCACTGGATTCAAAACTGCGACCGGAACAGGCAGGCTTCAGGAAGTACAAATCATGTGCTGACCAAATTGCAACGCTTCGTATCATCATAGAACAGAGCGTAGAATGGCAATCAGCTCTATACCTCAACTTCATCGACTTTGAGAAGGCCTTTGACAGCGTCGACCGAGAAGTAATTTGGAAACTGCTTCAATACTACGGAGTACCGCAAACCTTTATCCGCCTCATTCAACAACTATATGAAGATGCTACATGCCAAGTAATCCACAATGGGAAGCTCAGTGATGCCTTTGAAGTGAAGACAGGAGTGAAACAAGGTTGCCTACTATCCCCCATGATATTCCTTATTGTGGTGGACTGGATCATGCAGCAAACAGTAGGCAGCGAGAAGAGGGGGATACACTGGACGACGGAAAAGAACCTAGAAGACTTGGATTTCGCCGATGACTTATGCCTAATGTCACATAAACTTGAAGATCTGCAGGCAAAAACTAACAAGTTGACAGAAGAGGCAGCTAAGACGGGACTTCAGGTGAATATAGAGAAGACAGAAGTGATGAAGATACCGCACCACCACCATCAACAACAACAACAAACTCCAATCACCGTCAACGGGAGAAACTTGAAGGAAGTAACCTCCTTCACTTATCTAGGAAGCACTGTTTCAACTACAGGCGGGACGGACGAGGACGTCAAAGTCAGAATCGGAAAAGCAAGACAGGCGTTCATTAGCCTGAAACCAGTGTGGAGATCTTCTGCACTCAGCATGTGGAACAAGATACGGATTTTCAACACCAACGTCAAGTCAGTGCTCTTGTATGGCTCAGAGACTTGGCGCGTCACGAAAGGCATTTCCAATAAACTACAGACATTCATCAACAACTGCTTACGCTCGCTGCTGAAGATCAGATGGCCAGAAAAAATAAGCAACAAGGAACTCTGGGAACGAACCAACCAAGAACCTATCACGCAACAAATATGCAGGAAGAAGTGGAGATGGATTGGCCATGCACTGAGAAGGCCGACTGAGGACATCACGCGTCAGGCCCTCGAGTGGAATCCCCATGGGAAGCGACGAGTTGGACGTCCGAGGGTGACATGGAGGAGGTCATGCGAGGAGGAAATGAGAGGTTGTGGGCTGTCGTGGAACCAGGTTCAAAAGATCTCAGAGAACAGAGGTCACTGGAGGCGTGCTACTGAAGCCCTATGTTCCACTAGGAACCCAAGGGACTAATAATAATAATAATAATTGTCTTGGTGGCCTTGTGTGTGACTGGCTGTTTTTGTGCTAAGGTCTTGTCATTTTTTACTTGATTACGTTTCGAGCATAAATTATTGCTCATAATCATATCAATGTAATCACACTTCTTTCGATATCTGATTTTATAGTCCTGTCACCTGATTTTTTTTGTTTTTTGATTGGTAGGTCTTGTCATTTTCTCCATATTTATTTTGATTGGTTGTCCTGATGACATGAAATTTGACCTTCTTGTTGTTTCTTATTCGTTGACAGATTGGGTCAATGTCAATATGTCTATTGGTGGCTGACTGGCCTGAATACATCGAGCTTACCGGTCAATTCTTTTTGAAGTTTTGTACTGATGATGATGTTGTCTAGAATGACATCAGAAGTTTCCACGATTAAACAATCCAGCTCAGAGAACATAACCCCATTAAAATTATCCTTCTGAGTTACATATATTTTCCATCATGGCAATAATGCCTGATCACATGTTTATATCGATAATGATGATAAGACGGATTCGCCTCATTTTGAATACGCTGCATTCCACACATCCTATTATCGGTCTAACACAAGCGATTTTCTGATATTTCAGAGCAGTACTTCATGCATTTTTAGAAGGTTAGTTGTAGACAGGAATACTTATGACGATCGATGAAATCTAGGTGAGGATACACAAAACTCAGCTGGTATGTTTGTGCGTAATATTACATCATGAAATCTATCAATCGGTAGTCACACTGACTGCTAACCGAATAAAGAGCAAATTGGTAGGAAGTGAAGGCGAATAAGTGAACACACGGTATCAACCTCTGGACTTGGTGACTTAGTTTAAATCATGAAAAGGGATGTGTAGGAGTTAGCTAGCCGAAGTCTTCAGGCTGATAGGAAGCAACGATTTGAAACGCTTGATGATATGGCTAAGCAAGACAGGAAAATCAATTGATGAGATTGTGAACCTCCATGTACTGCGACGCATGACGAACCACTACTGCCTACTTCGATGTGCCATGCTGGTGGGGGAAGTTGGATTAGGTTTGAAGAGGGTTGAGGCTGGTCAGACCAAGACGTGACATCAGCCAATGTAGTCCCTATCTGTTGGTTTGAGTCGCGTAGGGAGATGTAGACTACTCGGATGGGATCCCCCGAAACAACAGAAATCAGTGGTTGAGGATTACTTTAAATAATTCTTCCTCGATTTACCGCTTTTCTTCCTACTGCAGAAATATGACAGTTTGAGGTGACAAACTTGGTTGCACAGCTATACGTCGACTATTTAAGGTCTCATCGGACAAACAGTAAATCAATAACTGCAGATTTAATAATGATGACGAATACGAAATAATGAGCAAACAGAGCATGAGATAGAATAATAAGGCATAAATTTGACTGCTCAACCCATAAGAAAAGATAGAGTACATGAAACTAACCGTAGACTGGAGTTTTTCCTGGCAGAACAACAACAATCAGCTGTAAACCAGTATGTGTATTCTTTAAATATCGAAACATTGGCTCAACTTGATCTTGACCGGTAGCATATTTACAGAAGCATGGTTGGCCTAAAATAGGCATGCCGGCATCATTAGAAATCTTTTGAAGTTGTAAGGTAAACAGCCTAGACATAGTTAGGAGAGAAGAATGAGAAACACCATGTAAGGCGAACAAAAGTACAAAACCAAAACCACACAAACAAAACATCTCTTCCTTTACGACGACCAATAGTCTCACTTACGAGGAACCCCAAAATACAATCTCTATTCAGAGAGCTTTCGAGGAGACTGAAAAACTTTGTGCAATCAAAAAGAAATTCCATCAAACCCACCGATGGAACTCTTAGAAAGGACCTAACGGTACCTAACAAAGTCACAGCATCATAAATATCAATTAAAGCACAACTGGCCAAGGAAACGATATTCCTCCTGGTCACTGAAAACACAAGCCTTCGAGAATACACAAAACTTCAGTGTTTAAGTCTGATGGAACAAACAGATGAAGGGAACTTCAATGGGACCACCAATAACCGGATTAGTCGCAGGAAGAGTGAGGCAGAGACTGGAAGCCATCATTTCACCTGTGATGAAACCAAAAATCAGTATCTGCAATGTGAACAATACTTTTGTCATCATTTTAAGAAAGGTTGACTTAGAAAACAACAACGTTTTCACTAATGCCCTCGAATTCACAATGGAGAAAGGGTCAAACAATCAACTGCCATTCCTGGATGCTTTAGAACCATTGCCGGAATATTGGAAACTTAAGAGTAAAGGAGGTCAACACACACTGATCAAATCCTCAACTGTAGTAGTAACAATCCAATAAATCACAAAATTAATTGCGTACAGACTCTTTTCAAAAGAGCGAGAACACACTGGAGTACAACATCTTCATGAAGAAATGAAGAAAATTACTTGATGTCACTCCTAAAGAAGAACGGTTACCCACGAAACTTTATTAGAAGATGCCTATCCTGTTCATGATCAATTACAAAATCAACGACAGAAATCAACAAACGAATCATCCTACCGTTCACAGTGAAAATAACAAAAATCACGACAAGATGACTGAAACCACTTGGAATTAGTATGGCTGATAAACCAACCAATTCCCTTCACACTATATTATGCAAACCAAACAAGATGAACCGAATATCACTGACAAAGACAAATGGTCCCCCTCTTCGTTTAGGATAACTATGGACATGAATTCAATTTTGACAATGTAGAAATTTTGGACAGAGGAAACACAAAGTATATCAGAGGGTTTCTAGGAACCTGATATTCATATCAGTCAGCAATCAATAGATGTAAAGGCACAGAACCAATCTATCAACCAATAAGAAAAATGATGAGCAAAAGAAAGGTCAGAAGTCAAGCAGAGGAACCGCCAACAAGATAATCTATACAATTCGATGATATAACAACCAAAGGAAATAACTAACCACAAACAAGTTGGTCAGGGCAAGCTACTGAATTCCTTTACGAAGAGATATTGACAGCTCATTTTATATAGGAGTTAGTGCTGCTGATGATTTTGTCTAAAAAGATAATGAAAGAGCTTGATAATTCAGCCACCACCCAACTGAGAGAACACAATAAAACCAAGATGTAAGGAGAACAGTTACGATATCTCAAACACAAGTTAGTACAAATAACTATGAAAAGAAGCAGCCTTTTATGAAAAGTAACTAAGTTTTATTTCCCTTGTTAACTGAAATAGAGTCGATAACCCACATAAAACTACGTCAAATAGATAACGATGAATCCCTTGAATAGGTAGGTAGCACACAGTCGGTGTAGTAAACTCTGACTGGGAATGAAGACAGGACTATATATATATATATATATATAGTACTTCCGACTTCGTATGAGTATTGCTGTCACGTTCAGATAAATTCTTAGTTATTTCCTTCCTAAATTCGGATGTTTTCATCTTCCAATCTACCATAGATAGGCTTTACTACCACCTGTTTTCTGAAACCAGTAAGGCGCAGATATACACGTGATCAGGATCCAAACATGGACCCTAGGAAGAGTAGCAATCCCCCCCCACACACATACACACACACACACAACGAAAGAGATTGGGTAAGGTGTAAGAGGTTGAATATTAGTACCAGGGGGCGAAGGCAAAGGAGGAGACAGAGGTGAGAAGTATAAGTTATATTTGGTTGGGTCTTGTGTACTACTGGAAGTGTGCGAGTGGTTGACACTTCCCGGCTGCCCACAACGTGGAAGGCTATTTCTTCTTAAGATACCTCAAAAAGAGAAAGATTTAGGTGACTGCAGGGTCCATGGGACATTCGGTTGAGGCTCGCCACACACAGCCTTTTGTCAGTTGTTGTTTTGAGGTTTGGCTGATCTAACGCCGGATATAGAGAATCCATACCACAGGCACCGAGAGACAGTGAAGCAAAGTGTGATGTGTTATTCTCAGGTTCGACCTTTTCTAACCCCCTCCCCCCTATTCCCATATGGAGGGCAGTATCAGTGTGGCACTGCTGACCATCCAAGGGAAACATATTACTGCTGTCATATCCCGTCTAGCTAGCAGCAGTACGACTTCGCCCTCAGACCCCATCATAGTGTAGTAATTTACACCACAACGGTAACTGCTTTTCGTCTTACTACCATCCAACAGACCTTTCTGGTATGGCAGGACCTTGAGCGAACAAGCGTCCCACCAGCACAGCTCGCTGGGTCATTGTGATATCCAAGCCCGACCACCATGTAGCAGCTATCAGTCGGGTAGGGAGTGAAGTCGTGGGATGTGTCGCCTACTTCACTTACTAGGGAAGTTGTATCAGTCCAACGAAATCTCAGCTCGAATACAGAATGCTTGTTTGCCATTCGCCAAGTTGAGTCATCCGCAACGCCAGCTGGCGAGATATCAGATTATCTATCTACAAAAAGACCAGTATACTGCCTTGTTAAACGGCTGTGAAAAATAGATACTAAAATCAGAAGATATAAATAAATTACAGGATTTTCACCACAGGAGTCATTACAGCATTGCTCGCGTAAGCCAAAACCACTGCGCGAGGAATACCAAGGTTAGTTGGAGAGTAAAAGGAAAGGAAGGTATATCAGTTGACCCATTTGCAAACCTTCACTGACTGAGATCGCTTGAACATGCGCTAAGCATGATGAGACGCCGTCTACTTTGATATAAGATGTGGCACCACTCCATAAAGATTTTGATGGTTAGCCTGAGCCGTGTAGGAAGAAGCCAACTCCCTGGATGGAGTTCTCAATATAATCAGAAACAATGGTTAGAAATTCTTGGTAATATGCCTAAACATCGGTTACAATAGTCCTGATAAAATTGCCTTTTTTAAACATTTTAGGAAGCGTTAGCATTTTCACTTCTGTGTTAGATTCTACGTTAACTTGTCTGTTTGTCTCCACACATAAATTGAACAACATTTTCCAATATCAAAAGGAATTAAGAATTGCATCCAAGTCAACAAGTAGGCATTCTTGTAAATCAATTAAATACGGTTAAACCGTAGAGAGATGAAATCTGTTGTCAATGGATTAGATGTGAATTTTGAACAAGAGGTTATACCGGCGGTAACTGATCTAGGACTTAAGGTAAAAATATTAGTAAAACTGAATACTTATTCACCGATACAGGCTTTTCGAAACAATAATAAAGCGAGCATATAGTATATAAGAAGCAAACAACACAAACCTTAGTGACTCTTCCCGAACAATACGCTGTGGAGCGAAACAAGCAATTGCCCAGACTTTAATTTCTATGCCTGAAAAGAATTGTTTACCACGCATATCCCATACACCGAGTTGTGGTGATGCTTGCGCTTTAGTACGTCCACCATACTGAATCTTTGGAGCAGGAATAACTCTACCCTGAATTTCAGCCATACGAGTATTCACATTAATTCCAAACATTTGTAAATGTGGATCAGCATTGAAATTGGCTCTTTTCACCTATGAAATGTTGATTAAAAAAAATGGAGGTATTAATAGTTGAAAACAAAAATTCATTTAGAAATACTGACACTGTACACTAAAAATTATATGGATTTCTAAAAAGTAACTAGACTATGGAAAACTTTATGGTTATTCAGTTGCATATACTATGAGCAGAAAAAGGAGCACTCACAGTCAAAACAGAACTAATATATTTACTGATCTCAGTATCCTCTTATCCATCTTTGAGACAAGATTCACTTGGTAATTTTGAATCTATTATACGATTGACCAGTTACACTACATAAACATGATTAAGGAGTCAAACAACAAATGTTATACCCATCAGGTGAAAGGTAGTAAGGCAAGATAGGCAAGTCGATTGTGGAGGTTGTGAACCGTAGTGAACTTTTAGAGGTGACTTGGACGTATGTTGCGCATGCGGAGGCGTGACATGCTATGCCTCAAGAAACTGGACTACGTTGAAATTGTTATGACAGATAATATGACCTAACAGCCTACTGGCGATACAAGCTAGCAAACTACGAACGATAAGAACCTAACGCGCAGCGAATCGACTCTGACGCAAATCAGAATGTCAACCACCACAACAACAACAACGCCACGGACGCCCGAAGACAGGAAGAGAAGACAGACCATTGATGGAGAGCTTTTCACTGTCTCAACAACAGTCAATACAACTGACAGTGATGCTGAATATATACATTCCCAAATGACCTTGACAACGCTAAATCCACATATAGTTAACAACCCATGAGTTCAAACTTGAGAGTAGAAGAAAGAAAAACTAGCAATGGTGCGAAAACACCCATGCAGGTTATTTTAAGGTGATGAGCAAAACAGCGGGCAAAAGCGATGCAAAAGTAAGGGTATATAGCGCCTCCTCCCCCTTCCAAAATGGATAGTGAATTTCAGTCCTGGTCAAAAAGATATTACTCACTAGGAGGCTGGTGCACGTATATCCAACTGACAAGTTCTATTTATATGAAGGAACATGTGTCCTGGATTTCAGGACTTCTAACCACTGTCAAGAAGATAATCATAGGATAAGTTGTATCACCACTTACAAGATTATTGATCTCCTTTTCTCGATCAGGTGCTGAACGAGCAGTAGCTTTAATCATAGTAGATGTTTGCATATCTGTCAACTTTTTGATACACCTTTGACCTGATACCATATTACACACTTCCAATGGTAAATATGTGTGCTTTTGTTCTTGACCAACTTGAAGGCATGGTAAATGTGGATATCTAATGAAAACATATAAGGAAAAAAAGGAAACAATTAGGACGATAAATATACTGAGAAGATAAAAGATAAACCTGTGAGTATTGATTGTATTAAATCTAGCACTCGTCCAACTGTTAGATAAATTAGTACATCATCATTTGACTATTTGAGGTAGCCGTAGTTTGGCAGTCTAGTATTTTAGCATGTGAAACAAAAATCTGGTAAACAGTCAGACCTCATAGCTCAGTGGGTGAAGCACCTGGTCAGTGACCCGGTGGTCGCTGGTTCCAGTCCGATGGTGGGTCAAACTTTATCCAACCTTCAATCATCATCCAGTATATGGTACATTAATTGGTCGCTAGAGAGCAACCAACTGTATTCTATTCGGTCTTGATTGTGCTCATTTCATGCAATATGGTCATCAAGTTAAACGGCTAGCTAACCATTCTTGGCATACTTCTTGATGGATGTTAGTTGGTTGGAGGCAATCGAGAGGAGCCTCTCCTCGACTTAGGTTTCCTATCTGTTGGAATTTGTCAGAAGGCGTATCTACAGCCTCAATGGAACTGATATCCACTGAGAAATTAGAACCCGCTTTACGCAGTACTGCAGTCTGCAACGTTACCACTAAGCTATTCCAGCCAGAAGTGATGCAGCTGACATCGCAGTTGCCAGGTTTCCGACCAATTGCCTCCAAGCAAGTGACATTCATCAAATAGGTATGGTACCAAAGTTATCATCATCATAATCAACATGGGACCAGTGATTACTGCCTCAAGGTTCAACTGGGTAGCCATACTAATATAAGTGTAAAACTTGGGCACTGTGGTCCAGTGTAATTCCATTTCAGTCTGTTTATCAGAAATATCACACAGTGAAACAGTAGTATTTGCTGGATAACGTTTCAGACATAATTTATTGTCCATATTCATATCAGGTAACTCCACAACTTCAAGACAATCTTTATATATTCCTAGTTTTCTCTCCTTCTATGTGATGACAAGGGTAGTAGAATTTCCCTTATATCTGAGACAGGTGCAACACCATTTCGATTGCATGTGTTTGGTGTTGATTCGATAAACAAAGATTCGGTTATCAATCTCTCCCTCATCGGTGATATGCTATTGTTAATTTCATTACTGTTGACTGCATGCTTTTCTTCCATAAGTTTGTTAAACTTCTTAAGCTGAGTATTTTTGGATTTCTTGGATGCGGTTGATGATCGATAAGTCAAAGTGGGTTGTCAATCTCTTAAGTAAAGTCCTAAGCTCAACAGAAGTAAAAGTGCTAGAGAAAGGTCTTAACTTCAATGTAGCGTTTAAGGAGTTGAAACCAGAAGATGTCATTTCCAGAAAAGAAATAGCGTTAAGTCCAATAGATAAGACAACTGGAGATGAGGTCAGAAAGAGCACAGTGTGCTCTAACACTGAAAAGACAGAAGAAAGTGAAATCTAATCTACCCAAGTCAGAGAGGGAAGCTCTCAGGAACCTTCAAAATGATAACAATATAGTAATTGCCAAATAGGATAAAGGCAACTCAATAGTTGTGATGAACAAACCTGACTACATCTGCAAGGTGAACCAGCATATAGAAACAGGACCATATGAAGAAATTAAGAAGTCAGTGGATACTATTATCAAGGAAAGCACCTCAGAAGCACTACGATGAATTCTCAATAAGGCTGACTGGGATTAAAGTGGCATTCAAACCAACAAACTCACTTAGAAACAAGCTTTGTAGGTTAAAAGATCCTATCGATGCAATTAAGCAAAATAATCTGGTTTACCAGATTCCTTGCAATGATTGCGAGGTCAAGTGCATAGGTCAAAGCAGTCGACTAGTTAGGGTCGATTAGAATAACAGAGCTAAATCAAGATCAGTAGATCTTAATAAGATAAGAAATCTAGAGAAAAACTCGGCTATAGCTCTGCATGCGATGACACACAATCACACATTAGGGTGGGATAGGGTGACAGTTTTGAAAACTAACTTAGTTGGGTGGAGGGAGAGATTGATAACCGAATCTTTGTTTATCGAATCAACACCAAACACATGCAATCGAAATGGTGTTGCACCTGTCTCAGATATAAGGGAAATTCTACTACCCTTGTCATCACATAGAAGGAGAGAAAACTAGGAATATATAAAGATTGTCTTGAAGTTGTGGAGTTACCTGATATGAATATGGACAATAAATTATGTCTGAAACGTTATCCAGCAAATACTACTGTTTCACTGTGTGATATTTCTGATAAACAGACTAAAATTGGTAGCCATACCTCTTAATATCAGCACATCCAGTGACAAGGCAATAAAATGGAACATGAAGGAAAGGAAAATCGGCCGAAAGAAGTAGGACTAGAAAGTAGTAATAGAGAGGAAGGAAGAATGAGAAGACTGTGAGACTAAGTATGGTGGTTAAGATGGGGATAATGCGTGTGGACACATCTGCGCCACTGATATCCGTTCTGGTTTCTCTTGCCTCTTGGACCTCAACTGGCTAGTCTGCATCACCCTACATGGCTCAAACGAATAGTCAAGAATCTCATGCATTAATGCCGTATCTTAGTCTGGCCAGCATTGTGAGACTAGGCAGACGGTGGTAAGGCATACGTAACACATGTCCTAGCTATCACAGTCGATGAACGTTCACAACCAAAGTAGAAGTAGTCCATATGATTACGTTTAATGACGCAGACTTGAGTGCTGCTAGTTAACTAGAAAATGTACATTTGCATATCTCTGAAGATCACCTTGACATGTGAATATCATCATTCATAACAAGGGGAAATAAACTGAGAAATGAGGTAGAATGTAGATGAGGGGGAATAATGTAATTAAAACACAGAAAACACTACTGAATATATAATGAAAAGATTAGAAAAACTTGAGTTGAATGCATAATACTTACTCCAAGCGTATATTATAGCGTTCTTGAAAATATTTAGCTACAGTACATTCCACTGTAGCTCCAGTATCTAACTGTAAAGGAAAGGATTGAGTTTGAGCAGGTCGTCGGGTCACATTACAAACACGATATTTACGTCTCATTGTACCACAGTGTGTGATTTCAACCTTCAAACCTTAGGAGGCAAAAAAACAATGGGACAAGGAAGGAGGCGATATTAGATACAAAATATAAAATGACATAAACAGACGATCCAATCATTATACTACTCCTTGAAGAAGATAAGGCGTTAGATGTTTGTACAAAACAATATTTTTAAAAATCAATAATGCATCTTGAGGTTAGTGGAGATTTAAGGTAGTACTCATCAACAACTGAAGACCTTGGAACGCCGGACAGCTGATTCGTCCTACTAGACGACTCTTCAGCGACCTCCCCAGGGATCGAACCAAAGATAGTCGTGCTATATTGCAAGTTGGTAGAGGTAGGAAATCGTGGATTGCCGAACTCCGACACAGTAGTTGAATGGTTAACACATTCACCGTGAAATCTGAGGGTCTTGAGTCCGATCCCCGGAGGGTCGTGCGCGTGTAGAGCTGAAAAGTCCCATGGTAGGACGAAACAGCTGTCCAGTGCTTTCGGGTAGTAGTCCATCTGTTTTCGAAAACAAAGGTAACAGTTTACACCGCTACTTTATCATTATTTTCAAGTTTCAAACACAAGCCTACCGGCTCTATTCCCAAACACTTATCTTAATTGACTGAACACAACTTAGGCCTTCATAAGATGTGAGAATCCATACAAGTATATACATCTTGGTATTATGAATGATGAATAGTGACTAGTATGTAGTGGAATCCACAATGTGTACTCCGTCGTATTTAGGACTCGCTCGTCACCTAGATCTACACCTACCTCTCTCCCAGTGAGTAATATTGTTCCCAATGAGCAATCACTTCAAACACCTAAAGCTTTAACGACTAGGCTACCTTTGTCACGATAGCAAATGCTTGTGTGATGAGTATACTATAAGTTCAGATATTATACCATGTATTTTCCAGCAGGGTTTGAACTCTTCACCCGATTGACGGAAAGTCAACTGATTAAACTAATAAGTCATACATCCATAAGTCATAAAAAATCAGTCAATCAGTCAACATTAACATCACCATGTGACTTGGTATCACTGTATTACAATTGAAGTTGCTAGACACTACCACCTAACATCAGTACAGTATGATGGGACCACTTACATCGATTCTAAGCAATAACATTTGGAGTCACCGATTGTGATTGTCACGTACGTGTAAATGAGGATACTAACCAACCAGCCTACAATTTTCTCATATAGCGCAAAAAACAAACTGTTATGGATACTCCAAAATTTTCAAAAAAAAACTAACTTATGTATATACTTTCATTGTAAACTGTAAACCTTATTTTCGCGCCTTTTTCGTTACATACATACAATGTTACTTATTTTTACTGCGGTTTAAACTCCTAAACGCTGATTAATCCATTTTACACTTTTGATACGCTACTTTGTTTTCTCTGATGAAGGCGCTGAAAAAAAGAGTATATGAACGACTGAAATTTCAGCTACTATCACACTATTCGACAGATATGAATGTATACCTTCAATCCCATTTGTTCTATCGTTGATCGTATCGCGTCGTTCAGATCTACGTATGCCGTAGATCATCAATTCCACCGATTGATCTTTAACTTGGATTCGAGGAGCCAAAAACTATTGTTAAATAATAGTGTCTGAACATTTTGCAATCTGCACAGAAACCACTATCATCATCATTATTTTCAAACTCAGCTTATTTGTGTCTCTGGATTAGATCCTACAAACAGACTACAGTATTATTTACGCCAGTAAAAATCGAAATTGCTAGATATACAACTGAATTTATTTCGCTGATATCGCCTTGTTCCCTAATGCAGACGGATAGGCGGAGAAAATCAACACAGAACGTCAATTCAAGTTGTCACATTTAGGGATGCCTATATCCCTTATATTCCATACTTAGTTTTGTATACAGTTGAACTGGTTTATTCGCGCTCTTTCCCCGCCTACAGGTCATATTTTGTATGACCCACCGCTATTGTTCTGGTTGGCTCCTACAGCTTTTAATGTACTAATTGTTCCTTGCCTTTCAAGGTTATTGTAAACTCTATAAATACGGTCCGTTTTCACTCATAGATGTTTTAAGTCCTGATTTCCAGTCTTTTGATTTCTCTCTGCAAATCACTCGGGTTGAATCGTCTCAACTCTCGACTACCAATCGTTAAGTATTTCCATTCGTTCTCACAACTCCACATCATATCAATCACACTTCACAGAAACGTGCAAAGTATTAAAAAAATGTCTACAAGAACAATGATATCGAACAAAATGTGAGGAAGGCATCCATGTAAGATATTCCACATCTTAATATTTTAAGATTGAAAAACAATCCGGAGTTACCAGTCTATACGGAAATATATTTCACTAAATTAGAACTGGTACAAAAGCGTTTGAAAACTTCGCTTATTCAGATAGATCAACAGAATGAACGTCGAACCTAGTACACAGTGTTAGTTCGCTCAAGTTGCCACACTTCATAGTAGTACATAAAGAAAAGGTGGATAGAAAAGGAGTGATATCAAGGTAGACCGAGTTTTGTGAGGGAATAAACAGTTTGAAGACAGCATTTAACTCAAACATTGAATCTCTAGAAGATGTCAAGGAATGAATTCATCTGCGCTATTGTGACTGATGCTCAGCTATGACACCAAGAAGCCTCAACCACTCATTCCTAGTGTCTTGGAAGACTGTAGCCAGGTAGTTAGGGACTTCATCGACTGGTGTCACGTATTAGTCTGGTCACCCTGAACCCTCTTTCAACCTAATCCAGCATAACATGATACGTCATCATCGTCAAAATCAACATAGGATCAGGCATTACTGCCTCACGGTCCAACTTGCCAGCCACACCTCATATCAGCATATCAAGTAACAAGGCAAAAAAAGTGGAAGATGAGGGAAATAAAAATCGGTCAGAAGTAAAAGTAGAAAGTATTAAAAGGAAGAAAGAAAGAGTGAGAAAACGGTGAGATTCGGTATAGTGTTAGGACGAAGATAATGTGTGGATACATTTACCCCACTGACATCAGTTTTGAGCCATATCGCCTAGTCTCCAACCACTGGTTTCTGTTTTCGTGTGGACCCCAACCAGGTAACCTGCATCGCCCGACATAACTCAAACCAACAGTCAAGGACTTCATACATTGATGTCATGTTTCAGTCTAGCCGTCTCGAGCCTCTGTCTAACCTGAACGTACTTCGGCCAACATTGTGCGACGAGGCAGACGATGGTTAGGCATGGTGACACCACGAAACACAGAGTATGCTACGAAAGCAACGGTGGTCATACACCTGAAGTACGACACGTCGAAGTAGACAGTGGCTTGATATGCGCAACACCTGTCCAATCCACTTCATCAATCGACTAGCCATTCTTAACTGGTGCCCTTTGTCTGATCTCATCATCACTCAAACAGCAATCCCACCGAACGCGAGTAATCCTACGAATATATCTGTGATCAAAACCCAGTAATCGCTTCATATCTTCTACTTTCAACGGCCGTGACTCATAGCCGTATAACAGGACAAAGCAGACTGCAATGCAGTATGCTCATCTGTCGACAGACAGTCAGATATCTCGCCAGTTGGTGCTATAGGTGATGCAAGTTGGCAAATGACATTTCGTAAGCAGCCAGCCCATTCGAGTGAAGTGGCCGACATACTCCACCACTTCACTCCGTATCCTTAAAATAGGAGTGGTTCCAGACCAGTCAGGGAGCATCTTACACTTCGTATATCCTTATATAAGTGACTCACATCTGAGTGAGAAGAAAGGAGAAGAATGGGAAGAAGAAGAAGGAGGAGAGGGAGGAGGGTGAGGAGTAGAAATCTTAAAAAGAAGTTATCAAACACTTACCTTTGATTTCTTTTGTGAATTTAACTCTTTGACTGTCAGTTAACGGCCGACGCTGTTCATTCTTATCCGATATATCTAAGACTTCACACATGAAGTCGATAACAGACTGAGCCTTGTAAAATGCAGTTGCAGATACTGTAACGAAAGTGAAGTTATACATAATTGTTGTTGTTATTATTTTTAAATTAAAAAAAGGTTATTATTTATTCAGTTTACACAAAATAACACCTTAAGGAGTCAAGAAAAATCAGAGAGAACTGAACATCTCCGTTCAATAGTGGAGTTATAGATTCAACCACTAGGATGTTAACGAGAACTTGAGGAGATTAAAAAAAGCCATGACATAGTTAAAAGACCTGTTGTTTGTCAGTAAGATTATTTGTACGCTTACTTTAAAAACATATTAACCATTTGCAGTGAAAAAAAAATCTCCTGAAAACAACCGTTTTGTTACTTCCGTAGTATTGATTTTCAACAATCAAAGTTACTGACAAATGATACATATATGGTTTCAGTTGACGAATTACGAACCGATTACTTTTACTGCTGGATGAGAAGTAAAAGCAAGACAGGGGGGGGGTTATGCCACAGAGATTAATTCACACATAATATAACTCATCTAGGTACACTACTAATTTTATTTCAGTAGGCAGAAAAATAAAGTACTCGCAATTCATATATACATATAAATCTATTCGCAAGTGTAGGGGAATGCCATAAAAATATGAACTAAAATAGGTGAAGAAAATATCAGTGACTTTATAATTTAATCTAGCCTAACTGGTCCATTATTTGTTGTTATGCCAAAGATATGAATCAATCCTTCCACCATATTGAACTAAAGCTAAACATAATATTAGAAAGGAGGAAATTTTGTTCAACTGAGAAAATAAAAAACGGTAACTATGGATAGTTGATTGTTCACATTCCTGGCTATTTCTAATTTCTACTATCAAAGTTCGTACTGAGTATCCCGAGTCACTGCCTATCTTAATGTGCCATGCTGGTGGGGGAAAGTGGATTAGGTTGGAAGAGGATTCAGGGTGAACAGACTAAGACAAGGCAACGATCGATAAAATCTCTTACTGTTGGTCTCAGTCGTGTTGAGAGATATAAACTACCACAAGACGAAAGGAAGCAATAGTGACGAGGCTGGAAATCGATCACAATAGGGAAGATGTATTCACTCTTCGATAGATCCTAAAGCTTGTACATTTGCACTATCCCCTATCTTCAGATTGTTTACTCTCTCTCCTACACAACTTTGTCTACTTCGATATCATTCTTATTATATACACCTGTTCTTTGTAGACTACTGTGAAATGTGGCAACTTGAGTCGATACACTTGTGTGCGAGGTTCTACGTTGATTTTGTCAGTCAGTCAACTGCATATTACTAGCAATTCCAGTTTTGGAAAGAACCAAATTCAATGAAATTACTTACAAAGTAATGATAATAAATCTTCGCAGACAAGTGCATCGGTTCAAAATACCACACTTCACAGTGGTAGTCTACAAAGAACAAGTAGGTAAGAAAAGAGTGAGAAAGGTGGATTAGAGAAGAAGGAATTCAAATATCCACATTCGTCAAAGTATTGGAGCTTTAGAAGGCAACAAGGAGTGAATACATCTATGCCGCCACTGATTCCTGTTATTTCCGGGTACCCTAGCTAAGCAGCTTATTCCTCGAAAATGGAAGGAAACTTATAAAGTTATTAGCATTGTACCCCAGTAGGCATGAACTTGATGTCGACAAGAGCATCAAAGGCTCTCATGCAGTGGGAACCAACTCCCCCTGCAGGATCATGACAGTAAGATGCAACTCAAAAGGAAGGAAAGTCACAATCATACAATGTTACGCAACGCACCTACATATAATGCAGACCAAGAGAAGAAGCAGGAATTCTACAGACAACTGCAATCAGTACTAGACAAGACCCCGTCCCAGTTGGGGATATCAAAATTCTAATGGGTGACACGAATGACAAACTGGGAGCGTACGACACAGGAAGAGAAAGTGGAGAAGCAACTTACTGGACAGAAGATCAAGAACGGGAGATGTAGGTTCACACCACTCACTATCTATTGCAAAGAACCTACCTTCAAATCAAGTTGAAAGCCTTCAAATAACTTGATGGTGATAGACTACAATCCAAGTTCAACACCCAGAACACAAACTAAAGGACGAAACTACAAAGGAAATCTTCACGTCAGCAATCAAGACACAACAGGAGATATTGAGCAACATCCCTGAAGGAAGCTGTGTAGAAGAACACTGGAACTCTTTAAAAGAGATATGGAAAGAAACCTGCATAACCGTATTAGGAAGGAAGAAGACAAGGACAAGACAATGCATGGATCTCCACGGATACATGGAAGCTGACAGAGTAGGGAGAGGAAGATGGCGAAGCAGAAGATAAACCAGTGCAAGGATGAACAACAAAAGAGGAACTGATCGCAACCTACAAAACACTGGACAAAGAAGTGAAGAGTTCGCGCAAAGACAAAAGACACTTCTACGACACACTTGCAAGTTAAGCAGAACAGGCTGCTGGTAGGAGAGACAGAGACCTGGCAAAACTATATCAAATAACCAGATTACTATCTGGGAGGAGATCAACACAGAACAGATGAGACCAATGAAAGATAGTGAAGGGAACTTAGTCACCACCAAAGAGGAGAAACAAAGGAAACGATGGGCCGACCACTTCAAAAAGCTCTTGAATCGACCACCACCTGCAACTCGTCCAGGAATACCACTGGAAACCGCAGAATTATCAGCGAAAACAAGCTCTCTGACAGAAGCAGAAGTGAAGTCCTCAACGCCATAAGGCTGCTGAAATCCGTGAAAGCAACAGGACCAGATGAAAATTCCCCCCAGAAACACTGAAAACACGCAGAGACACCAGTGAACATGCTCACACCACCTCTATCGCACAAGGTTTGGAAGGAAGGAAGGAAAGGTACCTGAAGATTGGAAGAAGGGCTACCTTGTCAAACTCCCAAAGAAGGGCGACCTAAGTCTCTGTAAGCACTGGAGAGGAATCATGCTCCTGTCCATACCCAGCAAAATATAAGGCCGCATCACCCTGAAGAGACTAAAAAACCCTCTGAATTCAAAATTACGGCCAGAACAGGCTGGCTGGATTCAGGAAGAACAAACCATGTCTGGACCAAATTCCGACCATACGTAACATCACAGAAAAGAGCGTAGAATGGAAGTCAACTTTTTACCTTATCGATTTTGAAAAGGCATTCGACAGCGTCGACCGAGAAGCAATTTGACAACTGCTTCAACACTACGGTTTTAGTGACACAAACCTTTATCAACCTCATTCAACAGCTACATGAAGACGCCACATGCCAAATGATTCACAGTGGAAAGCTCAGTGACGCCTTTGAAGTGAAGACAGGAGTAAAACAAGGCTGTCTACTATCACCCATGATCTTTCTGATTGTGGTCGACTCGACTGAACTGGATCATGCAGCGAACCGTGAGGAATGAGAAGATGAGCATAGGCTGGACCAATGAAAAAACCCTAGAAGATTTGGATTTCGCCGATGATTGGTGTCTAATATCACACAAACTCGAAGATCTACAGGCGAAAACTAACAAATTGACAGAAGAGGCAGCGAAGATGGGACTTCCTTCAAGTGCACGTAAAGAAGACAAATGTGATAAAGGTACCCAGTCAACAACAACAAGCTTCAATAAATATCAACGGGAGAAACTTAAAGAAAGTAGCCTCTTTCACCTTCCAAGCTAGGCGGCATCGCATCAACTACAGGTGGCACAGATGAGGACGTCAAAGTAAGGATAGGAAAAGCAAAACAGGCCTTCATCAATCTGAAATCAATGTGGAGATCTACTGCACTCACAACAAACAACAAGATCCGAATTTTCAACACCAACGTCAAATCAGTGCTTCTATATGGTTCACAAACTTGGCGCCTCACAAAAAGCACTTCCAACAAACTGCAGACATTCATCACCAACATCTGCCGCCTACACTCGATAATGAAGATCAGATGAGAAGGCGAGAAAGAATAAGCAAGGAGGAAGTGTGACCTGCCAACGAACCAACCAGGAACCTATCACCCAACAAATATGCAGAAGAAGAAAGTGAAGATGGATTGGATTGGGCATACACTGAGAAAACCATTCAGAGACATCACATGTCAGACCCTCGAGTGGAACCCAAAGGGGGAATGACGAGTTGGGTGTCCGAGGGTGACATGGAGGAGATGGTGTGAAGAAGAAATGAAAGCTTGTGGGTAGTCGTGTAGCCAGGTTCAAAAGACTGCAGAGAACAGAGTGCAATGGAGACGTCCTACTGAAGCCCTATGTTCCACTAGGAACCCGAGGGACAAAGAATAATAATAATAATAGGCACGAACTTGTATATATCTGTAATGAATTAACTATAGTAGATCGTTTTCATGAAACATATTATAAATGAGCAGATTCATTATCCTTTTGACGATCTGAGATACTCGTAGTTTGGCAGTGTAATATTGATACTGGGTGATGATTGAAGATGAAAGGAAGTCGAACTCAGTGGTAGCTGGTTTGAAACCCACTGCGTTCAATCATCACTCAGTATAAATGGATATACATCGGATCACTTTACCATATTTCATCAAATTACACTTACCATCAATATTCAGCATCATTCGCCATTGAGAAGGTCGAACACTTTGATGAAATCCAAACCATACTTCTCGACCACCACCCAAAGGATTTTCATATCCATCAGGATTTTGAAAGAATGATCGACCGACAGGAGTGTAACTTTTATATACAACAGTGGATAATAACATAGAAATAATGCATAGAGAATACATATCCAAAACAATAAATGGGCATGATGCACAGAAACATTAGTGCACATTCATCAAATAAAACGCTTTCTGACAAAATTGATAAGTACAGTACAAGTTGCGTCGCCGCCTTACGGCAAGTGACTATTCGTACGGAAGTAGCTATGATTCACACAGCTAAAACGACGAAATTTAGCGTATCCCAATTGTGAATACGCAACAGGTTCGACAAAAAAGCCTGACACACATAATATACGACGCATTGGTCAACGTACTCAAAGTAATCTCAAACTCTCTCACTCACCCGCTCAAATGCATAGACCAAATGTTACTATGGTGACAGTGATTGGTGTAATTTTTGTAATAGTAAAAAAATGAACCCTAAACTTTTCAAATCTTTGTAGAGACGAAGTGATGACGAGAGATTAAACCAGCGAAGTGTTTAATCTCGATGAAGCCATTTGTATTAATGATGGATTGCCGCTAGCAGTATATTCCAGAATGTGCATTTCCTCCTGTTTGAGACCAACTCGTCAGCTGGATACACGCCTGCCTTCCAATGAGTGGTGTTTTTCCCGTTCAGACTGGAACCCGGAGCAGATGGCTTCAAACATTAGAGAATTTTATTCCCTAAGCTATCGTGACTCTGGCGTCTAAAGCGACCAGTCCCAGGCCAGAGTCTGAGTGAGAAAAACACTGTTTATTAGGCGGCAGGTATACATCCAGCTAACGAGTCAGTCATAAATAGCAGGGAATGCGCGTCCCGGACTCCAGTGACAACTACAAGCGATCATTCATATCAAAATTGAAAATACAAAATGAACAACAGAATTCGGTCAGCACTAAGGGACTGGACAATATGAAGTTGATTGCCCTTTAGTAACCAGTCCTAATCAGGGTCAATCGCTGCCCGATTAGCTCAGCGGTAACACGTCGCTGACCGCAACACAGGATGATGCGGGTTCAAACGTAACGGGGGCTATCAATGCCAAGAAGCATGAAACCAAGGTCGAGTAGGATTCCCATTTCCCTTGGCTACTCTAAAGTAGCTATAATACAGCTTTGTTATCAAGCCTGTCCTCAGACAAGCATGGATACAGTGGTTGTGTCAATGACACTAAATGGGTGGACAAGACTTGAAACTAAAGCAAATTACACAAAGTTGTGAAATATATAACTGATGACCAATATAAAGTATCAGAGAAAACCTGCATCTATTCTTCAGTTTCTATACGAAGTCGATAGTAATGTTAATGTAGAGATGACTCTAAAGGTTACCCTAGCAACAAACGAAATAACCAATTAAGTTACTCCATTTCGGCTGGAAAGATAGATTTTAATTAAACAAAGAAGCCTAATTGGTTATTTTAGTTGTTGCTAGGGTAACCTTTGTAATTACGCTTAATGTAGGCAGTTTTTGCTTTGCGATAAAGATCAATGCTGAAACCTTAACTTGTTTCAACTTGAGGGAATTTTAGTGATTTCTCAAGTTGGTATTCATAATGGACTGACATCGGATGGACGGACACTGGAAACCTGCGAGCACTGGACAGTAAGCTGTTTCGTCCTAGTGTGGGCCTCCTCAGCAGTGAGCAGTCGTGACCCCAACCCGCAAGGGATCGAACCCAAGACCTCCGAGTACTGCGGCCAGCGCAGCACCATTGAGTCATTGGGTTGGAATCCAAGGGTCCATATTTCCAACTTCCGTCAATTCACGACATAGCGCGACCTCCATCCAATGTCGTCCTTGAGTAACTGTCTCCATGTCTGACTTGGTTGGCTCTACTGGTTACCTTTAAAAAAATTCAAGAATCACCTCTGGAAACTAGTCACCAATGAGCGCTAGATTAATTCAATTTGGAGTTCGTGGAGATTTATTGATTTCAAGTTGGTACTCATCATGGACTGACATCAGTCGCTCAACGGTAATGTGCTGGCCACAAAACCCAAGTGTCCTGGGTTCGATCCCCGGAGCGCTAGGGTCATGGGTGCGCACTGCTGGGGAGTCCCATACCACGACGAAGTAGTCGGTTGTCCAGTGCTCCCAGGTTTCTAATGTTCTTGGTGTCAGTCCATGATGAACACCAACTTGAAGTAATCTTGTTTACCTTTGGGGTTTAGAGATTCTTCATTGTTCAGTCTGTTTATATCCCATGAAGTCTTTGTCTACTCCCATTCATACTGGTAAGTTGTTACATTCACATCTAAGTGTATTTCGATCAACATTACCGAAATACCATCCAACACAACTAGAGTTTAATGATTTCAGGTTGGCATTCACATTATGGATTGACACCAGTTGCAGAAACACTGGAACCCTGGGAGTACTGGATAGCTTTTTTTCCACTTAGGAAGGGGACTCCTTGGCAGTACACACCCATGAATCCCCCCCCCGCCAGGGATGGAACCCAGGACTTTTAGGTTCCGTTGTCAGCCACTGGGTCATAAATCCAATGGTCTATATTTCCTACCTCTGTCAATTCATGATATAGCGCAATCTCCACCATCAAATGCCGTCGCTGAGTAACTCACATCCGATTTGGTTGGCTCCATCGGTCGGTCACAAGAATTCTCATTAGAATTTCAGGAATCATCAACCAACTTGAAATCAATAAAATAAATCACCGCAAACCTCTAAACTGGATTAGAGTTTTAACTAAAGTGAGAGCGAGAGACATGAAAAAAGTTTTCTCACCTCATACTGGGTAAATGACGCATAATCACATCCAACGAGATAACAGCATCATTTGGTATATGTCGATTATGACCGCCGAGTGCCTCTTCTAAGGCGAAAAGTGATACTTCTGAAACATGCTTGATAGCGACACGAAAAACTCGATCCTTTCCTTCACCGGGTAGTGTAACTTCTAATTCAACCTAAGAGAAATTTAAATTGGTTTATGCCATAGAATGTAAAGTTTTATCTATTGATAGTTCGCTTATGCTAATAACAATATAGAAATTATTTTATTTGTCTCTTGGGTTTCTAGTGGAACATAGGGCTTCAGTAGGACGTCTCCATTGCACTCTGTTCTCTGCAGTCTTTTGAACCTGGCTACACGACTACCCACAAGCTTTCATTTCTTCTTCACACCATCTCCTCCATGTCACCCTCGGACACCCAACTCGTCATTCCCCCTTTGGGTTCCACTCGAGGGTCTGACATGTGATGTCTCTGAATGGTTTTCTCAGTGTATGCCCAATCCAATCCATCTTCACTTTCTTCTTCTGCATATTTGTTGGGTGATAGGTTCCTGGTTGGTTCGTTGGCAGGTCACACTTCCTCCTTGCTTATTCTTTCTCGCCTTCTCATCTGATCTTCATTATCGAGTGTAGGCGGCAGATGTTGGTGATGAATGTCTGCAGTTTGTTGGAAGTGCTTTTTGTGAGGCGCCAAGTTTGTGAACCATATAGAAGCACTGATTTGACGTTGGTGTTGAAAATTCGGATCTTGTTGTTTGTTGTGAGTGCAGTAGATCTCCACATTGATTTCAGATTGATGAAGGCCTGTTTTGCTTTTCCGATCCAATACAGAAATTAGTTATAAAATAATAAATACGACTGACTAACCACTTATATCTTTATGCGTTGGACAATGGGAGTAAAGACAGCTAGCCAGAAAGATACAAGTCAACCTAGAATCTCGCTTAAACAAGTGTACCACATGGAGTTGCCACACTTCACAGTAGAACACAAAGAACAGGTGGATAGAAAAAGACTCATATCAAAGTAAACAAGGTTGTGTGTATGGGAGAATAAATAATCTGAAGATAATGCCATTAGAAAACACGTCAAGGAGTGAATACACCTGCGCCAGTGACCGATTTTCAGCGACTTAACCAAGAGTCTGCAACCACTGATTCATGTCATCCTACGGACATCACCAAGGCAGTGTACGCCTCTTCCTACCAAATGATAAATACAGCAGGCTTCAGACTCATCATCAAATAACTACAGTTACAATGCCTAATTCAGTGAATCATAAGAACAGACTTCAAGCGTATGGCGCATGAAACTATCCAACTGCAAACAGAGAGTTTCGGCTACATAATATAAAGCAGAAATCTGAGTATGTTTGGCATGCGTTTTGCACATAAAAAATGCAAGATGATGTTCGAGGACCGGCGCCCAACCACTCTTAGTTTAAGGATAGGGAGTGAAGTAGTGGAAAGTCCCGACTATTTCACTTACTTGCAGAGTTGTGTCAGCCTGAACTGGCGAAATCTCATGCTAGATACGGAAGGCATGTTTGGAATCCAACTATCTATCAAAGGATGAGTACGCTGTGCTGCAGTCCACTGTGTTTTGCTATACGGCTGAAACATGGTCGTTAAAAGTAGAAGATATGAAGCGATTACATGGTTTCTATCACACATGTTTTCGTACCACTGCTCGCGTTCGATGGAATTCCTGTGTGAGCGATGTTGAGGTCAGATGAAGGGTACTAAGCAAGAGAGGCAATTCGATTGATGCAGTTGTGAACCTTTGTCGACTGAGGTGGCTTAGACATGTACTGTGCATAGCCAGTCACCACCTACCTCGACAAGCAGTCCAATACGAGGTCGGATTAGGTTGGAATAAGGTTAAGGATGATCAGACCAAGACGTGACACCAGTCGATGAAGTCCCTGACTGGTAATGTGAGCCATGTGGAGAGATGCAGATTACCTGATTAGGGTTCCTGAGATGACAAAAATGAATGGCTGAGGCCTCTTGTTGAAATGGGTGAAAACCAGACACTTATTGACGCCTTCTAAAGTTCGAATACTTACACTATCCGTCATCTTCAGTGTGTTTATTCTCTCACACACACAACTGTGTCTACTTCGACATGAGTCTTTTTCGATCCACCTGTTCTTTGTAGCAACTTAAGGTAATGCACTTGAGTGCGAGGTTCCACGTCGACTACTTTTTCCAGTATGTCTTGTCTTCAAACACTTTACAACAAAGAAATTAGTAGTACAGAAACAGTTATAGAAGACATCAACAACCACAACAACAGGGTATAAATATGATCACTAGAAAATCTCTGACTTTCTGCTTTAAGAAACAAAAAAAGGAACAATACAACAGATTTATCATAAAATACCCAACGTATTGCCAACTGTGAAAAGGTGAACAGCACAATTGTCTCTCTTTTGTCATATGTTCTGAGATGAAATTCATGCTTAACCGTCACAAAATGAAATCTGGCATTGCTACATAACAGTTTCAAGTTGTTATAATTCACGTGAACACAGACAAAATACAAGATATAACACGGTGATACATGAAAAGTTGTAGAAATCCAAAAAATGCAAGAAAGAAGCTAGTTACACTAACGAACGAAACGTACTCAGCCACCTTGTGGACATCCACGCAGTAGGCAGCGTGAAGGACATCTGTTCTGTGAGGGCTAGTGACTGCTCAAACCACCTCAGTGGGTGGAGCAGATTCGGACACGCAACTCATTGGTTGTTAGTCATCTCTCTCTACATCACTGAGCTATAGCCCAGTGATACTTGAAGATAAGTCATGTATGAGTCTTCTTTATACTGATTGATGATGGTTTACGTGATCTGAGGTTATTAATCACCGGCTTCTAAGTTGTGAAACAGACTACAATCCACTAAGTTTTAATATTCTCCACTCATCCATTGGGGCAAAAAGACCATCTTCACACTTAATACTTAAAATCAATTAAATTTTTGAGGGAGTTGTGGAGATTTGGAAATATTTCAAGCTGTCCAGTGCTCCCAGGTTTCCTTTGTTCCTCCAACTGATGTCAGTCTTCGATGAATAACAACTTGAAATATTTCCAAATCTCCACAACCCCTCAAAATCTAATTGAACTGGTGCTCATTGGTGACTAGTTTCGAGAACTATTCCCGAAGTTCCAATGACAAGTCGTGACCGGTGGAGTCAAAGCCTGATGGCCGTGAGGCCAAATACTCAACGATGACATTGGGTGGCGGTTGCGCTATATATCGTGAGCTAACAGAAGTTGGAAATATGGAGCATTGGATTCTGACCCAGTGGCTCAATGGTAACGCGCTGGCCGCGGAACCTGAAGGTCGCGGGTTCGATCCCTGCTGGTGGGGTCGTGGGTGCGCGCTGCTGAGGAGTCCCATACTAGGACGAAACAGCTGTCCAGTGCTCCTAGGTCTCCTTTGTTCTTCCAACTGATGTCAGTCTTCGATGAATAACAACTTAAAATCAACATAGAAGTTGCAGTGGATTAGCCTGAGATGGAACTACTGAACTGTGGTGGTTTGCATCAGGCTGATTAGCGTCATCTATTCACGTTATTGAGTAATATATTTAAAACAAGCTATTACGATAATAATTACACAACCCGATAAATAGATGTGAAACGGGATTTAAAACCCATCAATTAGTCTCAATGGGAAAGTGTGGCTTCCAAGTCGATGAAGTAGTTTGTAATGTGCAGTAAAATAGATGGTGTAGGAGAAAACAGACAGAACCACGCACACACAAGCGCATCACCTCAAGTCGCCACACTTCACAGTAATACACAGAGGACAGGTGGATAGAAAAAAAGGAAGAAGAAACAATTTGAAGATAACAGTTAGTGCAAATATTCAAGCTTTAGATGTTCGGGTGGATGCATTTGCACCATAGTGATCGATTTTTAACCATGTCACCAAGAATCCTAAACCACTGATTCCTGTCGTCTCGGTGACCCTAACCAACAGTAAGAGACTTCGTCGATTGGTGCCTTGTCTCGGTCTGGACACACTGAACCCTCTTCCAATATAATCCAACTTTCCCCATCAAGGTAGGAGGTGGTTTGGTAAGTGCAGTACATATCTAAGCTATCTCAGAATATGGAGATTCATAACTTCATCATTCAACTTACTTGTCTTGCCCAGTACTCTACCCTTCATCTGACCTGAACATTGGTCATATAGGGATTTCGCTAAACGCGAGCAATGCAACGAAAACATCTACGATCAAAAATCTTAACAAACATTTACTTCTAATATACAACACTAATAGCATCGTTTTCACAATCTGAAAGCATATAATAGTAACAACAACGTTACTAAATAATAATAATAATAATAATAATAATAATAATAATAATAATAATAATAATAATATACTGATGAGATTATCGAATAAGAAATGAATTGAACATACTTTCTCCTTGCTGATAGGAAGTGGTTCACGAGTATACATGTTCCTACGCCCATCGAATACTGGCTTCTGATTATAAAAGTACTTTTGATAATGCATTGAATTGACCATAGTTTCAATTATCTCACTTGAAATATATATATTTATACATGAAAAAAATCATGAGTATACAGTTGAGAAATAAATAACAGAGTTGGGATATTTAAACAAGTAAAACAATTGTTCATTAATGTGAATTCAATTCACTGGTCTGAAATTCTGACAAACTGTTAGAAAGCATCTTTGAATAGGAGATACACAAAGGCATTTGAACTGATAACAACAAGCTGGCTGTGAATAGCTAAAGGAATCGTAAAGGAAACCCTACTCAGTAACCTAGTGCACCTATATTCGTGGAGTAGGCAGCAATGAGCCATACCTATTTTGTGACGGTAGGTGGAGCGGGGTTCGAACCCATGACTTATAGGCTGGAAACTAAGAGCAACACAGTGAGCTCATCTACAAGAACTCAATACTACTACCGCCACGTTGTGGATAACAATTAACCGTGGATTAACTAGCTGTGAAGGTCATTACAAAAGATTTCAGAAGGCTCAATTTCATTCAAGCCATGCTTCAGACCCATATTCTTCTGCTTAACTCACCCAAGCAGGAAGAAATATGCATCCTGGATTCCACTACTAGTCACCAAGATGAATATAACATCATGAATACCCGGCAGGATTAAGGCTACCTCACACAGAAGCCCATCTGTTAACAGAAGTCAAACACAATTCGACCAGTAAAGCAACGGTAAATTACAAGTATCTATTGCGTCTCACTGGCCTAGTAGACAACGGTTTGGTGTTTGAACCGATGTGTACTGGATGCGAATAACATCACTCACTAGAATGCATGTGTAAATCTCAGTTGACTAATGAGTCTCAAATAGGATGAAACGCACATCCTGGATTCCACTGCTAATCACCTCGAATAATATTAAAACTATGAAGCCATTACACACTAAGTTCAATAGCCTTAATGTTACAGATACTTTTATGACAAGAACGCCAATAATCGGAGCATTTTTTTGTAGGGAAGAAATTTAATGCGCAGTTGAAATCGTTTACCGGGGGGGGGGAATACAACTGATATTTGTAGAACTCTTAAACTTAGCCATAGTTTTTCCATTTGCAAATTATCTTCTATTCTGCAACAACATAGTCACTTCTCATGTTGTTACATATACTACTTATATACATCCGTATAAGAGTAGCTTTTACTACAGTAGTGCATGTCTATTCAGAAAACGAAGTAGAATAAATCACTTTGTTGCAACATTAATTATTCAAAAGTTTGTAGACCAACAGAAATTATTGATATACAGAACTGTGGCGGAATTGTGTAACATCCGTTATACTTAAAATCAGCGCGCATTAAAAGTTGTATGGAGTCAGCAGGAAGTATATATATAACTCAAGTAGGACATATCGGCAGTTGTAAGAAGTCATGAAATCATAAAACAGTGAGAAAAAAATAAACAACATACACTAGTACCATCAAAGTCAAGTTTGGCACACGTTGCACACTTTAGATAATTCACTCTAGTTTTCCTCCTATCGAGTTGTTCAACTAAGAAATTGATATACTCCGGTATAGCTGAGGTTAAAAGTTAAACTATAGATGAATGTTATGATACATTTTGGTCAACCTTAACTTTTTCCCAGTTTGTAATTACCCGTTCAAGTTCTGGTCAGATATTAGACAATTAATGAATAACTGGAAACCAGTTGAATTGTTTGTCAGTGTTTTTGCCATCAGCGCTTAATTCTATGCAAAATTATACAAACCCACCAACTCTTACTACTTTCCCCTGAGGGTCAATTACAAATGTTACCAATGTGTTTGCAGCAGACTGACAATCATGCCAGGTCTCGTCACGATAGCGAATCGTTCTTCAGAACCAGGCTTGTTATCCCTTTTCATCGGACTGAGCTCGGAAAGGTCTTCTAATTGCAGTCTGTCTACATCTATTGAAGTGAAGACGTAGATGTGTTCGAAACAACGCGTTACCATTTGCCAATTATGCACTCCAGAACGAGTAGGTATCTTACAGTGATCCTTTTTGTAGTAATATGACCTATTTTTGTCCACTACTGAACTGGGTTAGATGGTCGTTAGTCAAGGAGTTTCTCTTCATATCTCAAATTCGTCCTCGTTAGTTCTGAGCACAGACAAAGCAAGTGATCAAAACTATCGGTTTGCTCTGCTGGGATTCTCATAAGATAGACTAAGTATCTTGTTATCTGACAGCCTTCTCATTTGTGCAATAAAGCTGCCCAATACGAAGATGACATCACAAAGATTATAAAAAGACAATGCCATCACTTTTCCCAGTTCATAACATACTATAGCAATTTTGAACTGAGATCCAATCGAAAAAATCCACCCTCTACCTTCGGATGTTGTGGTATACATAAGTTACACAAAAATCACTAGAGCTAATTGATGAACCCCTGGATATCTGAAGAGTGACTCTTGTCCATACGACGTATCCGTAGGGTGGGTTAGCTAGCTCTACACATATACATATCTTGTACATATCTCAGTATGCACCAGTGGTCTGAGATGCTGAAGTTTTGGTTAGCCGGGCTTGTTGTACAATTTGAGACTGAGTGCTATTTCCTACACTCGAACAGTTATTATGGGTTGCAGAACTGGAAGAAGTTTATGGTTTAGAATCACGAACATAGAAATATGAAAAGCGTAACGGTCACCTAGTAGAATATGTGTTCACAACAGGAATCGTAGGCGAAATTATCCCAAACAAAGAGATTATAATGCGTCTGGAATGTAATGAAGTATGTTTTACTCAGTCAACCTTACTGGCTATACAATTAGACGGAAAATGATTTACCAAAAAATTCGCACTCAACAGAATTGAATAGAAAACCTAGATCCGGTTACATTAGTACTAGTGTGCTGTCCAATTATTATTACTATTAAAACACAAACATGGTACAACAAGGACACCAAGAAATGCCCCACACAAAATGGTATAATAACATTGTGAAAACATAAACTTTAGGAAGTGGATAAATGGGAAAGAAAATAAGAAGGTACATTCGAAACAAAACGTGCATTACTTTACAGCGGTAGAAGATAGGAGGGAGCTACAGCCTGACCACCACTAGTTTCGATTCTCAGCCACATCTGATAGCCTCTCGAGTCACTGAGTTACGTGATTTCTCGGATGTCAACCAGGGAGTCATGATGCACCAACAAATTCTAACCCGATACAACTATCCTTCATCCCACGGTGCCACTTCATACACTGATCCCTATCCGCTTCTTCTTTCCATTCACAGGGTTAGCAAACAATGAACGGTGTGGAAGCCGTTGTGACGACATGCGTAACATATATCTAAACCACCGAAGCCGATGTTTCCAGATGACTTCACTTAGTGAATGACGATCTCCATCATGCCTAAACACATGCTGTCGTACCCCACAATTACTTACATGCTGTTGTCATTGGATACGAGCAATCCTACGGAGACAACGACGATTAAACAAGCGGAGTCGTCGCGGATCCTCAGCTCGGAGAGGCCAGGTTTCACAGGTGTAGAGCAGAACTACTCGCACCGAAATGTTGTAAGCCCAACATTTTACAGTCAGAATAACGTCGTGACGGTGCAAAAGCTGGCTTTCGATATGCAGTTAAAGATTTCATCACTCACACAACTATCTAGATACAGCAATAACTTTCGACTACTTCCAACGGTTTAACAATAAGGGTGACTGCAGGCACAGACTACAGCCAATCTTACACAAGTGTTTAGCACTTCAATGGTGCAAAGCAAAAAAAATACTTACGAACACACTGTCCACTACTGGCTACTATTCCAAACGCTTTTAAGAACAAATTAATACTCAAAACGTCAGACAATTCAGCACTCAGGCCACGAAATGCTCAAGCTTAAACGTATTTTAATGGAGACAATACTTTAATTTTTTGGCTAGCAAATACATATGTTTGTTTTATCCCGACCGAGAGCTGCTACCTTGACGTGGTGGTCGGGCTTGCATATCACAATGACCCAACCAGCTATGCTGGTGGAACGCTTGTTCCCTCAAGGTCCTACCATACCAGAAAGGTCTGTTGGATAGTGGTTAGACGAAAAGCAGTTACCATTGTGGTGTAAATTAATACACTATGAGGGCGAAGTCGTACTGCTGCTAGCTGGATGGAGTGTGAAAGTAGTAAGGTGTTTTGTTTCCCTTGGATGACCAGCAGTGCCATGCTGATGCTGCCTTCTCAGTGGAAGCGGGGGTTAGAAAAGGTCAGCCCCAAAAATAACACACCCCACCATACCCCACGGTCTGCCGGGTCGGCGGTGTTGGTTTATTTGTCGTTTCCTTTCGACCATCCGGCTCCAAAAATAGAAAAGTTCAAAACAACCACACACAAAAGGCTACGTGTGACAGGCCTCAAACAGATGTCCGATGGGCTCTGCGGTCACACAAATCTCTTTCAGGTAACTTTAAGAAGAAATAACCTTCCACGGTGTGGGCAGTCGGGAAGTGTCAACCACCCTCACAACTCCATCAGTACTCAAGTTTCCTCAGACTGCTATCCATCTCCCCATCATTAACTTCTAATCTTCCTTCATGTCTCTCAACTAACGATACTACATCATCTTCAATTTCTCCTACCTCTGCAGCCTTCGACAACGATCTCAGTTCACAAAACAGCATCCTTGGTCTCCTTAAACCACGCTCCAAATTACATACTGGAGCCTTCAATGTCCGCACCCTCCGTCAAATTGGTCAACAGGCTTCGTTGGCAAAGACTCCAGCAATCCGGGCCATGGATGTGTGCCGTGTTTGTAAGACACGCATACAGGACCCAAGTGCGGTTATTCACCTGACCTCTCCCGACCAATCTGGTGAATCCACAAAATTCACCCTCCGAGTTTCTGGAGATTCACTAGCTAGCTCTCAGGGTCTTGCAGGTGTAGGCATAGCATTAAGCACTAGAACAGAAAGCTCACTACCAGACTGCATCCCAGTTGATAGTCGTCTTTACGCTATCGACTGAATGGCACAACTAGAACTAAAAGGAATAGTGAGACTCGCCGTTGTCTCTTTGTAACCTCTGCTTACGCACACACTAACTGCAGTTGGGATGAAGTGAAGGACGAGTTCTACAGTAAACTCCATTTTAGTCTGTTTATTAGAAATATCACACAGTGAAACAGTAGCATTTACACTCGACCACAGTGCCCAAGTTTTACACTTATATGAATGAAACATATGGTCTTCCTGTTCGAAGACTAATCAACAATCCAGTAAATGCTACTGTTTCACTGTGTGATATTTCTAATAAACAGACTAAAATGGAATTACACTCGACCACAGCGCCCAAGTTTTACACTTATATCTACCGTAAACTGTCTAACCTCCTCTCAAAAGCCAAACGTTCGGACGTGGTGGTTGTTGAAAGTGACTTCAATGCACAGGTAGGTAAACTGAGTGAGGCGGAAAGGTACTTAGGTGGCACTTTCGGAATCCCAGCTGAACGTACAGATAACGGTAATCACCTACTACAACTATGCTCAGATAACCGCCTATTTTCAGCTAGCACAAATTTCAGACATGAAGAAAGACACTGTCTGACGTGGCGTCCACCGAGCTCAACTCAGCAATGGATACAGATAGACCACATTGCTATTAATCATCGCTGGAGAGGATCGGTGGAAGACAGCCGCTCCTTCTGGAGTACATGTGACCACGTATTGGTCCGAGCGCGTATATGCCTGCGTCTCAATGGACGTAAGAAAAAATTTGGCAACAAAACCACCACGAGTACTGCTGGACAACCAAAACACTAAAGCCGTGTTCAGTGAGAAGTTGGCTAGACAGTTATCGGAATAAAAGACTGTCACTCATCCAGAAGAAGCTTGGTGCCATCTCCAGTCTGCTGTAAAAGCAGCGCTGAAGACCGTAGCCGACTCCGAAAGAGTGGCTAAAGGGAGCCAGTGGATATCAGCAGCTTCTTCCCAACTAATGGATGCATGTGGACGAATCCCTGCAGGCTATGAGTACAATGAAGAGCGACCGCAACTTAAAAATAGATTGAGAAAAAGTCTACGCAACGACCGCAAACAGTGCTGGGCAGCGAAGGCTAAAGAGATGGAAAAGGCAATGGCGATTGGTAATAGTAGACAGTTACTTAGACTCATTAAGGAGACTGGGGGGAAAAGGTCAACAACAGTTAATGAGGTTATAGCAGAGAAGGACAGATCTGCGACTCACTCGCAGAGGAGACGACTGGAACGATGGACAGAACACTTCGAGGAACAGTTTAACCAGCCTCCAGCCACCATTGCGTTGCCTGCTATCCAGTCGAATCCTGAGTGGAACGTTAAGATAGGACCCAAAACACTAGCAGAAGTCAGAAAAGCAGTAGGTAACCTGAAATGAGGAAGGGCAGCAGAACTAGACAGACTAACTTCTGAGGTATACAAGGATGTGGTGAGGTGCTCTTAGTCAGGTTAACGGAAGTGTTAACCAGTATATAGGAATCAAATACGATCCCCTCTGACCGGCCTGAATCACTGATTATCCCAGTTTTCAAGAAAGACGAGAAGTCCTCTTGTCATAACCACAGAGGAATCAGCCTGACGAACATAGTGTCCAAGATCCTAGGTTCTATAATTCTCCAACGCCTGAGTGGCGCTCGGGAACAGCAAGCCCGAGAAAATCAGGCAGGATTTAGACCCGGCCGCGGGTGTATTAACCAAATATTCACACTCCGCCAGGTCCTCGAACATAGGCATGCTTACCGACGTCCAACACTAGCTGTATTTCTCGACCTGAAGGCAGCACCATTCGACACCGTTGATTGAGAAGTCTTATAGCAATGCCTCTCACTTAAAGGCGTGCCGAGTAACTACATCACCTTATTGAAGGCTCTCTACTCGAACACTTGTGGACGTGTTAGAGCCTATGGTGAGATGTCTAGGGAGCTATACTCATCGAGTGGTGTCCGTCAAAGATGCCCACTGTCTTCATTCTTATTCAATTTTATCATAGATATTCTTATGGAGGTCTCCCTCTCGTCACCTCATTACACTGACGTTGACCTGATCACAGGAGAATTTCCGTTAGACCTAGAATATGCAGATGACATAGTCCTGTTAGGTGAAGACACCGACAACATGCAGACTCTTCTGAACACTTTGAGTGGGAATTTGAGAATGTTTGGGATGCATTTCTCACCACACAAATGCAAACTGTTGCTCCAGGAATGGTCTTCAACGGTGCCACGGCCAACAACAGAGAGTGTAGTGATTGAGTGTGTCGACCACTTCACTTATCTGGGAAGTAGGATCAGCCCTGCCTCGTGGCTCAGTGGCCGATGAAATCTCTGTACAGATACAAAAGGCTCGGCTGGCTTGTGCCAACTCACACCACCTATGGCGCCGTCGTCATATCTGATTGTCTATTAAGGGTCACGTGTACTGCACAGCAGTCCGCTCTGTTCTACTATATGGCTGTGAAACATGGCCATTGAAGGTGAAAGACATGAGAAGACTGGCTTCAGGTGTTTCACCACCGTCGCCTTCGTAGTATAAGCCGTATTCTGTGGTGTCACCACACCACGTGAGTAACGCAGACGTCAGGTATGGAGTTTTAGGGAGTAGAGGTAAATCTGTTGACGAGGTTATGTACCTTCATCGACTGAGATGGTTGCGACACGTATTACGTATGCCTAGTCGCCGATTGCCTCGTCACACAATGTTGGCCGAAGTAGGTCCAGGGTGGAAAAAGGCCCTAGGTGGTCAGACTAAAACATGGCATGAATGCATGAAGTCTCTGACTGTTGGTTTGAGCCATGTGGGGCGATGCAGACTAGGTGGTTGGGGTCCGCGGGATGAGAGGAACCAGTGGCTGGAAACTCTAAAGGATATGGCTCAGAACCGATGTCAGTGGCGTAGATGTATACACACATTATCCTTACCTTGACGACGCTATACCGAATCTCACCATTTTGTCATTCTCCCTTTCTTTCTTCTCGTACTTTATATTTCTTTTGACTGGATTTTCTTATCTTCATCTTTCATCTCACTACCTTTCTACGTGATGTACTGATATGAGCTGTGGCAAGTTGGACCGTGAGGCAGTAATGTCTGGTCCTATGTTGATATTGATGATGATAATGAACTACATATGTTTGTTTTGTGAATTACTATAGTCTTCTAATGCTTTGAAAGATACCTATCCCGATCATATAAGTGGTAATTGGATTATCAACTACCATTGATTAAAATAAATGAGAACCCTTCCATTCATCCTTAGTCTCTTTGTAGAAGTTGTCGAGAAAGTCAGGTGCAAATAACAAAAGTCAATACAATACCACCATTATTCGGCTTTCTATTCATAGTTATTCTTACAACCATCGGTATGTAATAGTAAAACTTAAGTCGATCGTGGCAGAGTACAGTTCCATATTAGGTTGTATATTTGATATCGCCCACAGTGACACAGTATGATTGACTGGATGACGTTTCGAGCAGAATTTATTGCTCATACTCATATCTCAAAGTAATCACACAACTTTCAAACTTCCTTACAACGGTTCTTTACTCGTTTATCTTAAAGGTAGTAAAATTTTCCAGATATCTGGAATCTCATGTTACATGTGTTAGACGTGGAGTCAATGAACAAAGATTCTATGACCAATCTCTCCCTCCACCTAGCCAGCTATGTTGAACTTCACAACCGTCACCGCCTATCCCACCCTATAGTGTGATCATGGGTCAGTGCATGCGGAGCGATAGCTGAGTTCTCCTCGAAATTACAAATTGCAGCAAGGTCTATCACTGTATATCCTCTGCTGCCCTGGTTGACCCAGATTGGCTGCTCTGACCTATATACCTGACCTCATAATCATCGTAACATGGAATTTGATAGATTAGGTTGTTTTTCCTAACTGGCTCTACTGAATCTTTTAGTCCACAGAGTTCCTCTCTGAGCTAGTTTTTTGGTTTAAATACCACTCTAATCCCAACATTGTTAAGAATTCTACGTAAAATTTCCGATGTGCCTTCTTTGAATTCCGTCTTAGGTCTGTTGTGCTCACTTTTAACACTACCATTCTCTTATCGGCCCCTATAAACATTTGAATAAATTCCGGAGGGTAGTTATTAGGAAGCAGTGTCTTTTTAACCTGTTCAACTTCCTTATTTGGGTTTTCTGACTTACTAGTCAAACTCCTAACCCAATTACTTAGACACCTTATCAAGCCTACTTTGACACACAAAGGGTAAGATGTGAACTTTTACTACCATTACAATAAATGAATGAACGTTTGGACTATATATAGGGGGAGTTAAAAAGTTGTATGATTACTGTGATATAAATATGGGTAACAAATTGTCCTCAGAAAGCAATCCAGTAAATTATACTGTTTCTATGTCCTATATTGATCAAATAAACAATCTTATACGGAATCATCAGTACATTGAAAACAAACTAAAGCATCTCAAAAGTTTACAAACACTGTCAAACTTACCGATTTACACGCCTTGGACATTTCTCAGGGGTGATCGAGACATCGTAGTGATGAAGAAATCCTTTAGGCATTCTTATTTCGAAGTGATTTGCCCTCAGGCTAATGCAACGACCTTCTGAACCTCTTCCAGGACGAGCCGGTGGTTCGAACTGAATGAGATGTTGAGCAGATGCTGAAGAATGGCCACTGCCGCTACCACCACTCGACCCACCAGCGCCACCTGAGCCACTACTGTTACTTCCAGGACCTGCACTGCTGCCTGCACCAACACTCAGGGGGGGACCATCACCACCACTGCCTACAACAGGAGGCGAAGAACCACTACCATTTGCTGCGCTTCCATTGCTACTATTATTGTGAACAACTTCAGACGGTCCATTACTTATCCCATAAGGAACTCCTGGTGTGTTGGAACTTAACCCACAGAGGGGTGGGAGAGAATGGTTACCACTGTTGACAATAGAAGCAGATGATCCACAACCGATTGGTCCGATCAAAGATGATTGACATTGAGCTTGACTAGCTGGGTTGTTTGATGTTATATTAGAAAGGCCGGAATTTACAGTTCCAGAAACCGCATCTAAGGTGAGAAATATGGATAAATAATTATGTCGCACTCATGGACAGACAAAATCAACGTAGGACCTCGTAAACAACTGCACTGGCTCAAGTAGCCACACTTCGCAGTGGTACCCAATGCAGGTGGATGGATAGAAAGACTGATATCAAAGTAGACAAGGTTGTACGGAAGAAGAAACAATCTGAAGATAACGGTTAGCGCAAATATTCAAGCTTTAGATGTCAGGGTGAATACATTTGGACCATAGTGATCGATTTTCAGCCATGTCACCAAGAGTCCGAAACCACTGATTCCTGTCGTCTCGGTGACCCTAACCAGGTAGCCTACATCGTCCAGTACGACTCAGACCAACAGCAAGAGACTTCGTCGATCGGTGCCTTGTCTCGGTCTGGACACACTGAACCCTCTTCCAACCTGATCCAACTTCCCCCACACGCATGGCACGTCGAGGTAGGCGGTGCCTCGGCATGTGCAACATATATTCCAGCCATCTCAGTCGACTAAGCTTCACAACCTCATCAATCGACTTACCGGTCTTGCCTAGTACACTTCGCCTGACCTCAACATTACTCACACGGTGATTCAACCAAGTGCGAGCAGTGGTACGAAGATGTGTGATTGAAACCGTATAATCGCTTCATATCTACTTTCAACAGCCATGTCTGTCATATAACAGGATAGAAGGTACTGCAGCAAAGTAAACTCGTCCTTTGATACAGTCGGATATTTCATCAACTGTCTATTGAAGCTTGTTAAATTAATCTAGAAATCGTCATCAAAGACTTATATCAGCATAGTACAAATTCACATTCCTTTGAATTGTAAAGTTACTTTGGCATTGCAGAAACAGGATGGAATAGGTAGCAAGTGTATAAGGACGACACACCAAAAAGTATTCTAGCTGCATCAAATACTAACCATCTGCGCCACTGGCTCAGAATCGATGTCAGTGGCGCAGATGTATACACACATCATTCTCATCTTAACGACGCTATACCGAATCTCACCATTTTGTCATTCCTCTTTTCGTTCTTCTCGCACTTTATATTTCTTTTGATTGCATTCTCTTATATTCATCTCCCACCTCACTACCTTTCTACATGATGTACTGATATGAGCTGTGGCAAGTTGGACTGTGAGGCAGTAATGCCTGGTCCTATGTTGATATTGATTGATTGATTGAAATACGAGGGTAAGGTAAAAATCAAACTGCAATCAAAATACCACATGATAGGCTAAAACTTCACGCAACTCTAGTCAATACTATGAGATGATTGGCTATTCAAGTATTAGGATGTTATCGCGTTTTCACTTCGTTCTAAAAGGTTATTGAGTTTATTTCAATAGCACTAGGCTATGCGTACTTTGTGAAACTTCAAAACAAAGGTAAGACGTGTTTACAGTGATTACGGTATCTGCTAGTTCTGTATCCATTTTTCTGATCATAAACACTATTTTACGTTGCCTGTTATCCAGTCAGATCCTGAATAGAACATTCAGATAGGCCCCCCAACACTAGAAGTCGAGAAAGCGGTAGGTAACTAGAAACAAGAAAGGACAGCAGGTTCAGACAGACTAGTTCCTGAGGTATTTAAGGACGGAGGTAAAGTGATTTCAGTCATGTTAACTGATATATTAACTGGTCTACAGGAGTCAAATATGATCCCCTCTGACCGGTCTGAATCACTGATTATCTCAGTCTTCAAGAAAGGCGAGAAGTCCTCTTGTCATAGCCACGGAGGAATCAGCCTGACGAACGTAGTCTCTAAGATCCTAGGTTTTACAATCATTCAACGCTTAAGTGAAGCTCAGGAACAGCGAGCCCGAGAAAACCAGGCAGGATTCAGACTTGGTCGTGAGTGTATTGACCGAATATTCACACTCCGCCAGGTTCTGGATCACAGGCACGCTCATTAACGTCCAAAAATACTTGTATTTCTTGACCTGAAGGTGGCATTCGACTCCGTCGACCAAGAAGTCTTATGGTGATGCCTCTCATTGAAAGGAGTTACCGAGTAAGTACGTGACTCCTTACTTAAACACCTGTGGACGTGTTGAAGTTTATGGTAAAATATCAGGTGGGTCGTGTACGTCCAGTGGTGTCCATTAAGTATGCCCACTCTCCATTCCTATTCAATCTTATTATAGACGTTCTTATGGAGGTCTTCATCTCATCTGACCACAAAACGATTGATCTAGTCACAGGAGAATCTTTGGTAGACCTAGAATATGCAGATGACAGTCCTGTTACGTGAAGACGCTGACAAAATGCAGCCTTCTGGACACCTTGAGTGGCAATTTGAGAATGTTTTAGATGCGTTCCCTGACTGGTTTTCAACGATACCCCGAGTAACAATAGAGAGTGAGGTGGTTGACCGCGTCGAACACTTCAATTACCTGAGAAGTCAAATCAGCCCTGGCACCGCCAGTCAGCGGCGGTGGCTGACGAAGTCTTTTCAGGGATACAAAAGCGTCCGTCGGCTTTTGGCAACTGACACCATATGTCGCTGCCACGATTGCCGGTTGTCTATCAAGGGTCGAGTGTACTGTGGTGCAGTTCGCTCTGTTCTACTCTATGGTTGTGAAACATGGCCATTAAAGTTAGAAGACATGGGAACGCTTCAGGTGTTTGACCACCTTCACAGCATAGGCTGTTTCGTGGTGTCACTACGTGAGTAACGCAGAAGTCACACGTAATTTTAGGGGGCAGAGGCACGACAGTTGATGATGTAAACTTCCATTGACTGATATGGCTGATTAAGACATGTGTTACGTATGCCTAACCATCCTCTGCCTAGTCACATGGTGTTGGCCGAATTAGGTGCAGGCTGGAAAAGGGCTCGGGGTGGTCAGACTAAAACATATCATCAACGCATGAAGTGCTTGACTATTGGCTTAAGCCATGTACAACGATGCAGACTAGCCAGTTGGGGTCCACGGGACAAGAGGAACCAGTGGTTATTGGAGACTTTGTGACATGGCTCCGAACTGATATCAGTGGCGCAGATGCATTCACACGCATTATCCTCATCTTAATCCATGTACTTAATCTCATCTCACTATTCGCTCCTTTTTTACTACATTTTACTTCTACTTTCTTTGACCGATTGTTCTTTTCTTCATCTTTATTTACTGCCTTGTTACTAGATGTGCTTATATGAGGTGTGGCAAGTTGGGCCGTTACGCAGTAATGCCTGGTCCTATGTTGATCTTGATGATGACTAATGATAGTGGGCATTGAACCCAGTTCAAAGGGTTCGAGAGCGATGATGTTGCCATTCAACTGACCGCTACACTTCTACACCTTAAACACACTACAATGATCTTCAGAAGCTTATATACTTCCTTCAGTAGTAAGCATCACTTCATTATCAAAAAACAACAGTATGAGACACAGGTCAACCGTACGGTCGCCGAAGAATATTATGCCAATACAATGTTGTCGCTTCGTCTGTAACTCGCATCACAGCTAATTAAAGCCTAATGAAGTAAGAAAAATAAACAACTAGGTGAATATGTGCAGAAAAATGTCGCCAAGTATAAAAAAGGCCTACGTCAGGTCTGATTTTTGAACTGTGTAATGCAATAGAGGCTAATCTTCACACCTAGGCAGCGTAAGATGAATAGATATTTCACAGCCTGGAGATGTTTACAGCACTGCAAAGCCAGCAAAATTAGGGTTTTCCTGGTATAACGTTTTGAAGCACCGGTATCTACATCCCCCAAAAGCCTAGTTTCTCCCGCAAAATCCCGAGCTCCAAAGTCCAACCAGAACTTTTGAAAGTCCCAAATAGAAAATATACAGACTTTGAAACAACATACATGGTTGGTTTCAGAACGAATGCAAGATCTTAGATTAAGTAATCTGCATCAGTGTGACAGCTCTTTACAACGAAATGTTTGAAGAATGGAAACAAAATTATGGATATGCCAACAGTGCAGGGCTGCACCCAAAAATCTCTTCGAGGAGTACCCAGAAAAACTATTTCCCGAGTGGAGTGAAACTCAGCTGTTAAGTTTGGGTCTTAACAACGTGCAAAACACTTCCACGAAATCTACTAACATGTGAATTCAGCATGCCCTATCGAGTAGAAGATGAATTTTTACACTTAAAAATTTCAACTCATCAAAGCAGCGGAAGATAAATAATAAGAAAACAATTGTACATTCGCACCAAATCAAATGTGCTTGTATTAGCTCATTAGTAGTTCACAACATAAGAAAACATAACTCACTGTAGCTCTGAGAGAGTTCTTTTACTGAGGATGTGAAGAGGTGGGTTGGAGGATTGTAAATGGTGCCATACATGTTCAACATCCTCGGGCGTGAAAACCGAAACCCAGGTTGTAAAAGCCGCCTAAGTCAATGAACTTGAGGACCAAAATGTCCAATCATATCCAATATCCAACATTTGCTTTAACGGTAGCGCTTTTTGAAAACTTTCTTATTCACTTTCCAACTTTGGTTTCAGACCATCATTTAGTCCATAGCATCCAGCATCACTGGAACGAGTAGAGGAAACTTGTAGTTTCTGAATACTCGCTTCTTGGTCTTCAGGCTCGGTACTCTTTGTTCAATTATACCCCTTCACTTGCCTATCTGTAATTTAGGAGCTACTGTCCGCTTGTTCTAACGCTTTTATTTGCAAATCATAGGCTGATAAGCTTTGGGAAGCAACGAGGCTGGTGACACGATTAACTAACCTTTGAAATTACTGCCGTAAATAAGTAGTTACCGACATTTAAAAAGGAATACGAAAGAAAAAGTAGGGAATAATAGAAGGGGAATGAAAAGTGCTGCTAGAGGGTCGTTATAAAGGTAGTAACAGTAGTAGTGGTGATAATCAGGATAATGTAAGGATCTTATTTCGGACACTGGGGTTGGGTAACGCAGGGATGGATGAGTAAACCTCTTGTTACGACTGATGTATGTTACATGGTAAGCTGCCTGCGCCCATGTACTTATCGATCACTGGTTTAAACGTGTCAACTGATGTTAATGCGGCTGATTATTTCGGCAGAGCGTTGCATGAGGCGCACAATCCATGGGAGAAGTCATGCATAACTCTCGTCTTAACCCTTCAGTGGGGTATGGGAGTGAAGTGCCCACGAGACCATCGCTTTGAGATTGACGACGTTGTTCCTTTTGGAGCGGCTGACTTGTTGGATGGCTTTGTTGGCTGTTACTGGGTTCCTCATCACCCTTCAGTAGCCCTATGGGAACAGGCTGAGTTGCGTAATGCATCGAAAATTCGTTTTGCCTATTGGTTTAACAACTGGAGTCGTCGCTCTTCCCTGCTCCTTATCAAGGGTGCTTGTATCTCTCTTTTTAATAGGAGGAGCTGTCGTGTTTAACATCCCCAAGTGTGGTCTAACGTAGGTTTTAAATATTATGAGGAATAGTTTAGGAGTAAGAGCTCCCAGTTGCCTTCTTAAAAAGCGCTTTCAATAGATATAGATTCATAATCTTGTTTACTGGTTAATATATCGGCCTCCTCGTAGGGACGACTCTTGTCAGAGTGTCGTTTCTACATAGTCCCGTATGAAGTAAATAAATAAATATTTTATTCTCATAGTAGTAATTTAACATGAGAGAAGCCAGTTTATAGGCATCGTCACATCGATATATGTTGGAAAATTTACAAGATTTTACGGGATCTAAATGGTACGGAATTGAGGTCATTGAAATAGATTGAAAACATCCGAAGATTACACAAGTCATGAAGCGAACCAGAAAATACAACTTTTCAGCATACACAGAGTGTTAAGGTTTGGATAGCTTTCAGTCATACTTTCTTTTTTCACCATTAGCAGCACCAAGATCGCGCGAAATTCCAAATTTCCGTTACAAGCAGTCGACTTGTTTGATTCCTCTTCGCGATTCCCCGTTACGCTACATAAACGCCTATTTTACCATGAATTCTTATGCTTATAGCTTCGGGTAGCAGAAGAACCCACACTGGCTATGCTGAGAACCTGTAAGTTTCCACGTAATCCAAGTGTTATCATCCACAGCAATATGGATTTACGCCATCAGAATAAGATATTGTGGTGCAAGGGAATGAACGTTTGAAAAACCTGCGGACCGATGGCACTGAGTTTTCCATACTGTTCAAGTTAAGACACTCAGCATTGTCAAGGACGTATATTCACTGTTAAATGAAGTACCAGAGAAGTCTGTTCCATGGCATTATTGTGAATATGTTCACTGTAAAGTTAATAGATGAGTTGATCTCCTGGATTTTACTGTCTGTCCAGATTTTCGATGCCACCATGACCGTCTAGAAGTTTGAGTAATTTGAGGATTGATATACGTTCACATGGTGAGAGGGTCAAATGAGTGAATGGGATTGGTAATCTTTGTGGGAGCATAGTTTCACTGCTTCGAAAAGAAGTGGAATGTTGAGAGTCGGTAACGCATATTCCTCATTTTTGTCCTGTTGTCGTCATTGAGTGTTATCTTGATGTGGGTATTCGAAGATCTGAGTTAAACCCTTCGATCGTTTAGCGTTCAGGTTTCCAGATAATTCGGTAAGTTTTCATCATGGTCCAGTTTCTTCATAGTCTAGCGATACCTTCATACTGCAACCATCTGAAATTTTGGTAGAAAAACAACAAAAGTGGGTGTAGCCTCTGCATCTTTGAGGTTGGAAATCGCTTATATATTGAGAGTTCCTAACACGCCTGTAGTTCTAGCAGCAGTATTAGTGATGCTTTTTATGGTTCTATCCTGTAGTATAGAGTTAAGCTGTCGTATAAACCTAGTCAGTGTTTGATTCTCATGCTTCCCTAGGTAAGCTGTTCCATATCTGAGCACATTTTATCACAAAGAAGTTCTCCCTAGTGACTGTTCTGAAGTGCTCCATTGCTACTGTTGCAGTTACATTTCTTAACCCATATGCGGTTTTGTTTATGCACCTTATGTCTGTGCATGTGCTATAAGTTAGCCTGTTAAGGAGCTTATAAAATAGTATCAGGTTCAGTCTGAGCCTTCGTCTCTACAGCGGTTCAAGTCCTAGGATGTTGCACCTGGTGGCATATTTTGCGTCCTTATTCGTGTTGAGTATTCTCATCGTAAAGTATCTCTGAACTCCGACTTTCAGTCTATCCGTAACCCATACACTGCTGTATATAAGTGAACAACATTCGAGTAGCGGTCGGACACGTGTTTTGTACAGGGTAACTCTAGATTCGGTACTGTAGAAGTTCCGCACTAAGAAACCCACCAGTTTGCGTGAGTTCGACACCTGTGCGGATACGTGCTCAGAGAAGGTTGGATTGTGAGAATATCGGCGCCACAAGTCTTCCATAGACTTCAGTTTTGGGAGTGAATGCCCTGTCATGATTAAGTTTAGTTCGGGTCCATAGTCACCCACGCATATCCAGCCACATTTTTCTGTGTTGAATTCGAGTCTGTAGGTGTTGCACCATTTGCTAACATATCTTATTTCTTCTTGCATATTGCTAATGGTCAGGGTTGTCACTGCTAAAGCATATGTATACTACCTTTAGGTCATCCGCATATAAGAATGGCTTGCTTACTTTGAAACATCCACGTATGCTACTGATGTATGTTATGAAGGGAAGTGGACCTAAGACGCTGCCCCGGACAACTCCACTGGTTATTGGTTTAGGCTTTGAGATAGTTCTGGATTTACTACCCGACTGTGTTGGCCAGCTAGTACCATCTTACCTAGTTTTTGGCACTTGGTGGGATGCGGTGTAAGGCTTTTAGAGTCAGGTATTTTACGAAGACAATGTTGGACAAGAACATTACCTTTAGATGTATCGCTTGCTTGCTCCGCAGCGGATACATTGTTCTTGAGTACTATCTGGGGATTTGCATTTTCCTTTGAAGTGGGGTTCGATCTTGAGCTATCTTAATGTGTCTAAACATATTTTTGAATTTAACACTATCGAAACAAATTGCCGGTAATCAAGCGATGATGTAAACTGGAACAAGATAGGGCATGCGAGTTGCGAGTCGGTCTTCCGAATCCGTTTACAATCATAAGTAACTTGTGACATGCTGCAGGCGTCTAAGATCATGGCTTCAGCCCTTTTTGGTGATATACTTTCCGGGACATTGTAGACGACAGCTTTTGTGGTGATGCAACTCGTTGCATCACCTCTGAGGCGATGAAGTCGACTGGAGTTTCAGGCTCTCGTGCTTCCCCGCTGTCTATATCTTTGTGTAGACCAAAAAGACAAGTAGTGGGTGCGAGCTGCTTGAGTGCAGTGCGGACTTCAGTTAGCATTGTATTAAGCTCTGTAATTTTGTCCACATTGGAAGTTGCTAAGTTGCTGAGATCCCTGACAACATCAGTTATTCCTACAAAAGGAGTCTGCGACCTATTCGCAGTTTTGAGACCGCGTTTCGAACAGATCTGCGCAGCATTCATTTTTCTTGTTCAAGCTATTTGTTCTGGTGTTGTGCTGTGACTACAGGAGCTGGTTGGCATCCCGGCACCCCTTCGTAGTGCTTGTTACAGGAACAAAAAATATCGACAACCACTGCTAAAGAAAAGCCTTTGCCACTGTTTTGGCAGTTTTGTCCGTAAGTGGATTGGCTTTCGGAAACCTTGTGCTTTTATCAGTGCATGTGGGTAGGTGTATGAAGCCAATCGGATGGGGTGAAAGACCCATCGAATTCGCACTTGAACTTGCAAGACGCACACTGAGTTGCGAAAATGCCTCTGGAGGTGAAATCGTATGTAGGCTTACTTTTGACAGTTGACATTTTACACATTCGTCAACCCGATTTCGTACACTGGGCCAAATATATCTATCGAAAATAAATTTGGCGGGAACTTTCGCTCCAGGGTGTGAAAACGACCAAAGATTACGGAATATTTACTCCCTCATGCTTCCAGATACTTGAGGTCCAGGCGAATCCCTCGTCATGCCGTAATAAATAAGTTCATCATTCATGAGTATAGCTACTTGAGTCTCAGTCTTGACCTACTGCTAGGAAGTATATTTCCCGATTCCCCATCTTCCTCCTGACTTGCAGTTAAAGCCTTGAAACCTATGGTGGATCGATGAACAGTGCCTATGTTAATTCTAGACAGTGTCACACACGCAATTTTGGTGGCTCCAAACGTGCTCGAAATTGCTCGTTGAGTACGATAGCAAGTCAAGGTGGCAAACTCTACGTGGTGAGGATTTACATGGCTCCGCATTTTCCACGTAGGTTACCGGGTTTGTGATCCGTGTTGACCGCAAAAGCCTTATCTTTTGGTTCGTGACAGAAATGCTCAATGACTGAAAACATCGCCGGCAGCTCCCGACAAAATGTTGGCTGCCAAGTTTCGGGTGGAAAAAGACATTTTGAAAAAACACAGCTGGTTGCCAGTGGTTCCCCACCA